ACCGAGGCCTCAGGGTCTGGGGGTGAGGGGGCAGGGGGTGCCCTCGCTGAGTTCAGGGTACTTCAGCGCTGGACCAGTTACTGGAGCTGCGTTTACGCCAGAGGATTCTCTGTGGAGAGCCAAGGAAGAGGGTGGGCTTGCAGTCTCAGAGACAGTGCTCTGTGAGGATAGGGAAGTAACTAGCCATCTTCTGTCCCTTTTAAAAAAAATCTATTTTTAATTGGGGGATCATTGCTTTTGCAGTGTTGTATTGGGTTTCTGCCATAGAACTTGAATCAGCCATAAGTGTATGTGTGTGTTACAATACACACAGACATATATAACATGTATATATGCACAATACAGCATATATATATACGTTTTATATGTATATGTATAAAGCACAGTCAATCCTAAAGGCAATCAGTCCTGAATATTCATTGGAAGGACTCATGTTGAAGCTGAAGTTCCAACACTTTGGCCACCTGATGCGAAGAACTGACTCTTTGGAAAAGACCCTGATGCTGGGAAAGATTGAAGGCGGGAGGAGAAGGGGATGGCAGAGGACAAGATGGGTGGATGGCATCACCGACTTGCTGGACATGAGTTTGAGTAATCCCCAGGAGTTTGTGATGGACAGGGAGGCGTGGTGTGCTGCAGTCTGTGGGGTCTCAGAGAGTCGGACATGACTGAGCAACTTTAACACTTAAACTTTCACCGTTTTCCTAGATTCCATATACATGTGTTCATATACAATATTTATTATTCTCTTTCTGATTTACTTGTATAACAGGCTCTAGTTTCATCCATCTCACTAGAACTAGAGTCATTCATTTTTTTATGGCTGAGTAGTGTTTTATGGCTGGCTGTGTATATGTAACACAACCTCTTTATCCGTCAGTCGATGGACATCACGGTTGCTTCCATGGTCTAGCTATTATTGTCATGAACAATTGGGGTACCTGTGTCTTTTTCAGTTGTAGTTTTCTGAGGGTGTATGCCCAGTAGTGGGATTGCTGGTTCGTATGGAAGGACTTGATGTTGGAGCTGAAGCTCCAATCCTTTGGCCACCTGATGCGAAGAACTGAGTCACTGGAAAAGACCCTGATGCTGGGAAAGACTGAGGGCAGGAGAAGGGGACGACAGAGGAAGAGATGGGTGGATGGCATCACCGACTCGATGGACATGAGTTTGAGTAAACTGCATTTTCACCAACGGTGCAGTAGGGTTCCCTTTTTCTACACACCCTCTCCAGCATTTATTGTTTGTAGATTTTCTTGGTGCTTCACCTTGCTCTGTTTAAAGAGGAAGCAAAGGAATGTTTGAGTCCCAGGACCTTGATGGCGGAGGGAGATGCGAGCTCCTTGAATAGCTACGATCCCAGAGGAGGTGGCAGCGAATGCCTGTGATGAGCCTTCTCGTTCCTCTCTGAGACTCTCCAGTGGAGATTTTTACCCCTGTTCCCATGTCTTCCTCCTACTTCTTCCTGAGAAAAGAATAAAGAAGTGGGCTTACTCCTGCTTTTCCAGGCGTATTCCTGAGAGAAGGATAATGCAGTAGGCTAGGCCATTTCTTCACTGAACAGCTCCACACCATTTGCTTCTGCCGAGTGACCCCTGTGGAGACATTGATTGGGGGGGGTGGGGAGGGTGTAGGAGAACTCAGTTCTTGACACACACCCCTCCCCCAGAGGCTTTAGGTTCATGGGGAAGACAAGACATTTGGCGAGCTGGCTGTGGTCAGAGGCACTTGAATGTATATGTCGATGGTCACAGGTTCAACTGAGGAATGGAGCTGGAGGTTGCGGGAAGGTGGCTGAGAAGGGGGTGGCATCTGGGCTGAGCCAGGACATATTCCAGAGTCTATGTCAGGAAACTGAAGGCAAGAGATTTCAGAGTGAAGGAGACCCCGTGACCAGACCATGGCAGTAGGGAGTGCCTGCCAGTGTGGTCTGGGGAAGCCGGGTGTCGAAGGCAGGTCGTGTGTTATTTCTATTTAGTCGTTCAGTCGTGTCCACCTCTCTGCAGCCCCATGGACTGCAGCCCACCAGTGTCCCCCATCCATGGGATTCTCCAGGCAAGAATGCTGGAGTGGATTGGCAGCCCGCATTCTGGGACTCCTGCAAGCTGCAGCTAAGACCCAACACCGCCGGAAATGAATAAACACATAAGTAAATAGTTTTTTTTTTTATGTACACCCGTGGCCGATTTCATGTCGATGTGTGGCAGAAACCACCACAATACTGTAAAATGATTAGCCCCCAATTAAAATCAATTAATTAAAAAAAATTCATCAGTGAGCTTTTGAGCAGATACACACGTGCTGCGTTTAAATCACCCAGCTCCCTCCAGATCAATGATGAATGACTTTAGAATTGCCCACCATAAGACCTCAGTGTGGATTCAGATCAACATGAGATGAGTTGAAATTTCAGCCACGCCGTTAAGCTGCATCAGATCTTCTCTCTGTTTTGTAGCTTTCCCGCTGCTGAAACTTAGGAACTGGAAACCGAAATGCAGCCTTCCGAATTAAGAGTTTCAAAGGAGTTGTCAGCGCTGTAGGCAAACGCTCATTCTTGGTGCAGAACGGCTTTACGGGCAGCTGGTGTTTTTGTTTCGCAGTGGCAGTGAAGATCACACTGCCGTGCACTCTACGTAAATTCGATCGGTTTCATCTATCCCTTTGGTGTTATGAATTTGTTCTAAGTTCCTCTTTCCATCATGGCTGCTATTTTGAACAGTGGTTCTTACATCTTTGGGTTACCAGGCAACTTGCTTGCTCCGTCGGGGGGGGGGAAGAGAAATCAAAATGATGAAGTATGTTCCAACGAGCCACCTGTGAGGGACTTTTTCTTTAAGCCAGGCACTCACGCAGGCCAAAACCCAAACATTATAAATTCATCTTTTTTTTTTTTTCCCCAATTTTAAACAGCAAGTCAGCAGGGGAGAGCTCTGGCCATCACTTGGGGAAATCCACGAGACCCATGCTTCAGAAACCATTCCTGTATGCTGTGAGCACATATGTGAGAGCATTGGACTTTAAAATGTTTTCCTTAAAAGGAAAACTCACTCAGACAGAGAGGAGAGGAAACTCGGGAATCGTGTCATAAGCACCCTGAGATATATCAGCAGAGGCAGAGCGTGTTATGTGAGAAGAAAGACTCGAGACTCGTACTGACTGTCATCTCTGGTGGATTCCATGTTAGGCCTCCTGGTGCAGATGGCTGTGTACATGCGCGCTCAGCCGTGTCCGGCTCTCTGCGATCCCATGGACTGACCCCGTGGACTGCAGCCCACCAGGCTCCTCTGTCCATGGGATTCTCCAGGCAAGAATGCTGGAGTGGGTTGCCATGTAGTTTCAAAGGAGTTGTCAGCGCTGTAGGCAAACGCTCATTCTTGGTGCAGAATGGCTTTACGGGCAGCTGGTGTTTTTGTTTCGCAGTGGCAGTGAACATCACACTGCCGGGCACTCTACGTAAATTCGATCGGTTTCATCTATCCCTTTGGTGTTATGAATTTGTTCTAAGTTCCTCTCTCCATCATGGCTGCTATTTTGAACCGTGGTTCTTACATCTTTGGGTTACCAGGCAACTTGCTTGCTCTGTCGAGGGGGGGGGAAAGAGAAATCAAAATGATGAATCTGTTCCAACGAGCCACCTGTGAGGGACTTTTTCTTGAAGCCAGGCACTCATGCAGGCCAAAACCCAAACATTATAAATTCATCTTTTTTTTTTCCCCCCAATTTTAAACGCAAGTCAGCAGGGGAGAGCTCTGGCCATCACTTGGGGAAATCCACAAGACCCATGCTTCAGAAACCATTCCTGTATGCTGTGAGCACATATGTGAGAGTATTGGACTTTAAAATGTTTTCCTTAAAAGGAAGACTCACTCAGAGAGGAGAGGAAACTCGAGAATCGTGTCATAAGCACCGTGAGATATATCAGCAGAGGCAGAGCGTGTTATGAGAGAAGAAAGACTCGAGACTCGTACTGCCTGTCATCTCTGGTGGATTCCGTGTTAGGCCTCCTGGTGCAGATGGCTGTGTACGTGCGCGCTCAGCCGTGTCCGGCTCTCTGCGATCCCATGGACTGACCCCATGGACTGTAGCCCGCCAGGCTCCTCTGTCCATGGGATTCTCCAGGCAAGAATGCTGGAGTGGTTTGCCATGCCCTCCTCCAGGGGATCCGCCCGACCTAGAGATCAAACCAGGGTCTCCTGTGTTTCCTGCATTGCAGGCAGCTTCTCTACTGCTTGAGCCGTCAGGGAAACCCGTTTATCTAACAAGTCAAGACCTAATTCCTCCTGTTCACTTATGCGTTAGAAAATGGGAATTCTATCAGCTTTTCATTACAAACCAAATTGGATTAAACAGAAGGACTCCAGGCGCATAGAAAATGTTAGGTATTTCTCTTCCCCTTACAAAAGGTTTCGTATGCCCATTTATCAAGTTTTAACCCTAGCAGGAATGTCTTCTAACACTGCCATCTATAAAGTTCTTGCACTTTTTTTTTATTTGAAAGAATGCACATAAAAGAACTGCTCTCGAGGCTATGGGCTTCTTCCCTGGCGGCTCAGACAGTAAAGAATCTGCCCACAGTGCAGGAAACCTGGGTTCGATCCCTGGTTCAAGAAGATCCCCTGGAGAAGGGAATGACAACCCACTCCAGTATTCTTGCCTGGAGAATCCCATGGATGGAGAGAAGCTTGGCAGGCTACCATTCTTGGGGGTCACAAAGACTCAGACACAGCTAAGTGACTCACACTCGAGGTTACTGGGGAGACAAAACCTTGTTGAGGATCAAGAATCAATTTAGACCCTCGAAAACAGCGGGAACGCAAAGCTGAACTTGGCATCATATGATTTCAGACTGAACCCCTGATAGGGAGATGCTGCTGTTACGAAAGGAAACACGGTCCTTTGTTGTGAGATGAGTTTCGTCTCCGCTTTAGCTCTCCTTCCTCAGCGTTCACTGCGGTCCGCGTCGCACGCAGGCTGTGGTGACTGGCGTGGTTCTATTTCAGGTGTCCCCCTGAAGCCCAGGAAGGAGTTGAGGTTCACGGAACTGCAGTCTGGGCAGCTGGAGGTCAAGTGGTCCTCAAAGTTCAACGTTTCCATTGAACCCGTGATCTACGTGGTGCAGAGAAGGTGGAATTATGGGATCCATCCCAGTGAAGACGATGCCACGCCGTGGCAGACCGTGGCACAGGTGAGTGTTCCGTGGGCAGATCTGTTTGTCTGACTCTGTGCGACCCCGTGGACTGCAGCCTGCCAGGCTCCTCTGTCCGTGCAGTTCTCCAGGCAAGAATCCCGGAGTGGGTTGTCCTTTCCTCCTCCAGGGGATCTTCCCAACCCAGGGATGGAACCTGGGTCTCCTGATGTTACCCTTGAGATGACATCTCCCGCACACCTACACAGAGGAGGTTAACGTCCTGTGGCTTGCTCAAAATAGCCTGAGAGTGCAAGTCACTTAAATTGGTGTGCATACACCTCACCTCCACCCCCCATCCTGTGGGGTGAAAGATAGGAGTGTATTAACCACAAGAAAGTTGGGTTCATGTGCTCACAATGCATGATGAGTGAGTGAGTGAAGTCGCTCAGTCATGTCTGACTCTTTGCGACCCCTGTGGACTGTAGCCTACCAGGCTCCTCTGTCCGTGGGATTTTCCAGGCAAGAGCACTGCAGTGGGTTGCCATTTCCTTCTCCAGAAGATCTTCCCGACCCGGGGATTGAGCCCGGGTCTCCCGCATTGTATGCAGACGCTTTACCGTCTGAACCACCGGAGAAGTCCCGATACATGGTGGAGGGACATAATTCTCCGTTTCAGAAGATCCATTTACTTATTCGTGGCTGTGGTGAGTCCCTGTTAGTACATCCAGGCTTCCTCTTGTTGCCGCAAACGGAGGTTCCTCTTCATTGTGATGTGAGGGCTTCTCATTGCCGTGGCTTCTAGAATATGGGCTCTAGAACTCAGGCTCAGAAGTTGTGGCCCACGGACTTCCTTACTGCGAGGACTGTGGGATCTCCCCAGAACAGGGATCCAAGTGGTGTCCCATGCCTTGCAAGGCGGGTTCTTAAAGCACTGGACCACCAGGGAAGCCATTTTCCGATGAGTGTTCACATTTATTTCCTCCAAGAACTGCACGCTTTTGAGCCTTGAGATACATGCAGAACCCACTAGACTGAGGGAAACGCAAGCACCCATAGGACTCCTTAACCCGCCATGAGATCATCTCGACGTCGTCTCCCTTGTTGCTCCTGAAAGGTTGTTGCTGAACCAGGAAAAGACACTGGGATTCTTGGCCTCCAGTNCTCCTGAAAGGTTGTTGCTGAACCAGGAAAAGACACTGGGATTCTTGGCCTCCAGTGGAGAAGAATTCAAATCTGGGGCCAGAGACGAGGCTTGATCGCTCAGAGCTTTTGTGTAATAATGTTTTATTAAAGTATAAAAGAGATAGAGAAAGCGTCTGACACAGACATCAGAAGGGGTGCAGAAAGAGTGCCCCCTCGCTAGTGTTAGCAATGGAGTTATATACTTTTTAGTTACTTGTTACAGTGAATCAAAAGAATGCCTGCAGGTTGTCAAGACCTTACTAGACCACTCCCATAATTTGCATTTTAAGATAACAGGATTAGCCAGAAGGTTTTTTTCCAGAAACTGTCCTCAAACTGGATACATTATTGTTGCATAATCCTAAGGAATGTAGAGGAAAGAAAGTTTGTCCTTTCCTCCTCCTCGAGAATTCTAGACCCCTGTCTCCTTGGGGACCGCCGGACTTCTTATCAACCTGCCTAGGAATTGACTCTCTCACTCCCACATTTAAGCTTTCATTCCGCACAGGACTTGAGTGGCTGAAGCAGAGTCCTGTCACCAAACCGCTTGGTGGGGAGCAGCGGGCAGGTCTTGAATCTTCCCTGAGTGCTTCCTTTTCCTTCCTCTTGGTCAGCTCCCCAACAAATGGGCCACCGGCCAGCACCCCTCCTGGGGGTCATCTCCCCAGTGCTGAGGAAAGAATCAGTGATCAGTATGAGACCGCTTCATGCTTTTCAACAAGTAGACATGCCTTCTCCACATGTAGGTCTATAGGGAAATCTTCTCTGCTGATGTGTGTAAGACCGTCTTTCTCCAAGGACGAGATTCCCTTGATTTTCTTTTTTTTCAGTACATGTAAACTACAGTTTGATACTCAGGTGTTTGAAAGAAAAATGTAATCCCTTTTTCATCAGTAGTGTCTCAGAGAGGATAAACACGACAGTAATTTAAAGACCTCAAAAGCAATGAGAAATGCGATGTTAAAATGATTATTTTTTTTAAAAAATTGGAGGATAATGTGCAATGTTGTGTTAGCTTCTGCCGTACGACAAAGTGAATCAATCACATGTGTACGATATCCCTTCCTTCTTGACCCATCCACCCGCCTCTTCCGCCCTTCTAGGTCATTGCAGAGAACCGGGCTAAGCTCCCTGTGTTACATGGCAGGTTTTTGCTAACTTTCTATTTCGCATATAAAGTAGTGCATATGGTCAGAGTTATTCGTGTGTGTAGTCAGCGCTACATGCTGAATTTCTCCCACTCACTCCTTCCCCTTCTCTGTCCACACTTCCATTCTCTATAGGTCTCTGTCTCTCTTTCTTTCCTGCAGATAGGTCCATCACTGCCGTTTTTTGAGGTTCCATATATATGCGCTGATATTCGACATTTACTTTTTTCTCTTTCTGCCGTATTCGACTCTGTAGCACAGGCTCTCGGCGCACCCACCTCATTACAGCTGACTCAGATTCATTCCTTTTCTATGGCTGAGTAATATTCCATTGTGAATATGTACCACATCTAAAAGAAACATCTTAAATTAGGAGGAAAAAAAAAGAACTGGTCAGAAATATTTGGTAATTTTATTCCATATCTATCTTGTTAAAAAAACCTTTTGCTTTAACACAACATAAAGATGTTCAGAATACAGCCTAAAATTATGTTTGGTTTACATGGCATTCTCCCCTAAATGGTGCTATGGTATCACTTGTAGAATTTACAAATTATCGATGTGAAGATTTATGAAAGTAACTGATGATAAGACTTTCTCTTTCATATGCTCTTTCTTGGAGAGAGGAAAGACCTTGCTCTATCATTTTTATTATTATTGCTGTTTTCAGTGGTTAATGCCACACGAAATGCTTCCTTTCTGTGTCTGCTGAGCATGCTGACTTTAGTTCCTTAAACTGGAGGCTGAAACTAGACAAAGAAGTCAATGGAAATGTTGTCTCAAATTCAGCCAGATAAGGTAGAAAGGCATACTTAGAAGTCATGCTCTTCCTTTTTTAAAAAAAATTATTTTTTATTTTAAATTAATTTATTTTAATTGGAGGCTAACTACTTTACACTATTGTGGTGATTTTTGCCATACACTGACATGAATCAGCCACAAGGGTACATGTGTCCCCCAGCCTGAACCCCCCACCCCATCCCTCTGGGTCATCCCAGAGCACCAGCTATGAGTGCCCTGCTTCATGCATTGAACTTGCACTGATCATCTATTTCACATACAGTAATATACATGTTTCAATTCTATTCTTTCAAACCGTCCCACCCTAGCCTTCTGGGCATACACACCGAGGAAACCAGAATTGAAGGAGACACGTGCACCCCAGTGTTCATCGCGGCACTGTTTGCAGTAGCTAGGACATGGAAGCAACCCAGATGTCCATCGTTAAACGAATGGATAAGAAAGCTGTGGTACATAGACACAATGGAATATTACTCAGCTATAAAAAAGAATGTGTTTGAGTCAGTTCTAATGAGGTGGATGAAACTGGAGCCTGTCATACAGAGTGAAATTAGTCAGAAAGAAAAACACCAACACAGTGTATTAACGTATATATATGGAATTTAGAAAGATGGTAATGATGACCCTGTTTATTCTGTTTTAATCACGGAAATACTTAGCTTCTTTTGATGTTGAAGTACATGTGGCAGTCCTTTTCAGTAACTTGTCACAAGCTGAGGTTTAGGAGGGTTTCAATTCCATTCTGTTGCCCAGTTTCATTCATAGAGCATCACGTTGAGCTCAGTTGGCACTAGGCCTAGATGACCCACAGAACTCAGACATTTATCCCTTGGAGTTGATAGCTTATGGTGATCGATGTTGGATTCACGATCTCCGAAGAAGAAGACTTAGCTTCGGGACCAGGGACCAGGCTTCACCACTCAAGAGCTTTTGTGTAGCAGAGTTTTATTAAAGTGACAAAAGGGACAGGGGAAGCTTCTGACGCAGACATCAGAAGCGGGACAGAGAGTGCCCCCCTCACTAGTGTTAGCAAGGGAGTCATATGCTTTTTAAATTAGTTATGACAATAAATCAAAAGAATGTCTCAAGGCTGTAAAATTTCACCTGACCCACTCCCACAATTTACATTCTAAGAGGATTAGACCTTAACAACAGAAAGATCCTACCAGACCCATTCCCATAATATACATTATCAGTTCAGTTCGGTTCAGTCGCTCAATTGTGTCCGACTCTTTTGACCCCATGGATTGCAGCACTCCAGGCCTCCCTGCCCATCACCAACTCCCAGAGATTACTCAAACTCATGTCCATGGAGTCAGTGATGCCATCCAACCATCTCATCCTCTGTCATCCCCTTCTCCTGCCTTCAATCTTTCCCAGCATCAGGGTCTTTTCACATGAGTCAGCTCTTTGCATCAGGTGGCCACAGTACTGGAGTTTCAGTTTCAGCATCAGTCCTTCCAGTGAATATTCAGGACTGATTTCCTTGAGGATGGACTGGTTGGATCTCCTTGCAAGGGAATCTCCTCCAAGGGACTCTCAAGAGTCTTCTCCAACACCACAGTTCAAAAGCATCAGTTCTTTGGTGCTCAGCTTTTTTTATGGTCCAGCACTCACATCCATACATGACTACTGGAATATAATCCTTAGTATATATAATCCTTAGTATAGAGTTTAAACTGAGTTGTTTGTTGTGTAATCATCAGTTCCAGGCTTAAAGGGAAAAAAAAGTTTTATGTGGCTAAGACTAAGCAATGTAGAGGAAAAATAAAACATGTTTGCCCTTTCCTCCTCCTTGAGAATTCCAGATCCCTATTTCCTCCTCAAGAACCCCAGACCCCTCTCTCCTCGGGGACCCCCGGACTTCTTATCCACCTGCCTAGGAAGTGACTCTCAGCGTCGTGGCCAAGTGCTCAGGTCTTCCCTAGGACATTGTTGGAAGTGGGCCTGTCGCCCTGAGCTTGACAACAGGGGCAGTGAGCACATGGTCAGGTTGTCTGAGATCTCAGGACTTAACCAGAGGGAGAGCAAGACCTATCGATGTGGCCCTGTGTCCAGTTTTCTATATGTAAAGATATATTCATGCAGACACTCCTGATGGCTCAGGAGTAAAGAACCCACCTGCCAATGCAGCAAACTCAGCTTTGATCCCTGAGTCGGGAAGATCCCTTGGAGAAGGACATGGCAACCCACTCCAGTGTTCTTGCCTGGAGAATCCCGTGGACAGAGGAGCCTGGTGGGCTACAGTCTGGGGTTGCAAAGAGTCAGACACGACTGAGCGATTAAACCACCTCCACATAGGAACACACCTCACCCTTCAGGAACATGAATCTATGCGCATCTTACATGATTTACTCAAGCTAAATAAAAAAAAGAAAGAAAAAGCCTTGAGTTTCCATGTACTTCCAGAATTTAAGTGTGTGGGTTCACATACCTACTTCCAGAGTTATCTTGGTGTGGAAGTATGAGGCATTTTCCTTCTGTCATCTACAGATGATTGCATGTTCTTTGTAATGTAATGATCGCTTCATATATTTATTCATTCATGAAGTAAAGCGACAGTCATTCAGTTGTGGCCAACTCTCTGCAACCCCACAGACTGTAGCCCACCAGGTTCCTCTGTCCATGGGATTCTCCAGGCAAGAATGCTGGAGTGGGTTGCCATTTCCCTTCTCCAGGGGATCTTCCTGACCCAGAGATCGAACCTGGGTCTCCCGCATTGCAGACAGATTCTTGACCTTCTGACCCACAGGGGAAGCCCATTATTCATTCATATGTATACTTCATTAATGAAAACCCTCCAATGCGGTATATAGTCACCCGAGGTAAAAACCAGCCCGTGCATTCATCATGAGACTTTGACTTCCACAGAGCTGTCAGAGTCCTTGGGAGTAGATACCTGCGAGTGGCATGGAGCCGCTGGAACCTCCCCTGGAAATTCCTTGATCCCGAAAGCCCTCCCTGGAACTCAGCAGGGTCGCCTATCCTCACCCAGGAGGGCAGGGGGAGAGCGGGACTGTCGAGTCCGCAGACGAGTCGAGCGTGTGTTTACAAAGCAGACGCAGCGGGCACATCAGGGTAACAGGCTTCTGTGTGCCTCTTCCCTCTCAGACCACGGACGAGCGGGTGCAGCTGACAGATGTCCGGCCCAGCAGATGGTACCAGTTCCGCGTGGCGGCTGTCAATGTGCACGGGACCCGAGGCTTCACCGCCCCCAGCAAGCACTTCCGCTCCTCCAAAGGTCAGTGGTGCTTGCCGCCCACCCACCCACCTCGTGATGGAGGGGAAATCCATGGAGTCTCCAGGCTGGTACGGGTGTGTTTGGCCAGCACGTGGCTTTGCTGTGCTGAGTGAATGGGGCCAGATGCCTCTGAAGGAGCCTCAGGAATTCATGGCTGGGAGGATCCCTGGGTCTTGACTTCTGCGAGGCTCCGGAAACTGTCATCACGATGATGTTTTCTCAGCTTTCGTGTCTGCCACATCAGACGGTGCAGGTCTCTTGAAAACAGTGGCTCCGCTGAGCGTGCACTCACCTCCTGTTTCACACCAGGCAGAGTTTAAATGCGTCCTGAGGCACTGTAATCGTGGCTATCACTTTCTTCCCTTCTCATTTCGCTGCTGTTTTAAAACCTCTGTGAGTGTGATGAATACTCACTGTTTTCCATTTGTGGTTGGTTTAGTCTGGGATAGTGCAAGGACATGATTGGACCGGATATTAAGAATAGCTCTGTTATTTCTCCAGTTGTGTTGGGCTTTCTGAATAAATGGTACAGTGGCCTGGCTAATCTGCCAGGTTCATTTTCATGGAAGAAGGTTAGTGAGGTTATTCACTTACTAATCAGCAGTTATCGTCCTCGACAGGAGGTCATTCAAGCTCATTTTAGGCAGGCATTGTGATGTTAATGAAGAATGTGAGGTGTGTAGCATCAGTCTTTCACGATGGGAAGGTTTGCACTGGCTGCTATAAATTGCAATTCCTTTCCATTTTGGATGTCTAGGTGGCTCAGTGGTAAAGGACCTGCCAGCCAATGCAGAAGACACAGGCTGGATCCCTGGGTCAGAAAGATCCCCTGGAGGAGGAAATGGCAACCCACTGCAGTGTTCTTGCCTGGAGAATCCCCTGGACAGAGGAGCCTGGTGGGCTGCAGTCCACGGGGTGGCAGAGTCAGATGCAACTGAGCCCATACCCCCTCTTATGTTTCAGCTAGTCTGTCTGTATCTCGCTAGAATAATACTGCCACACCTTTATCGAGATAATTACAGGTCTCAAGTGGAAGATTTGCAGCCAAAATAATTTAAATATTTGGATGCCATTCCAGTGTTTATTGTAGACTTTTTTTTTGTTGTTTTTAATTGACTGCACTAGGTCTGAGTTGTGGCAGGCAGACCCTTCAGTCTTCATTGCACGTGGGGTCCAATTCCCTGACCAGGGATTGAACCCAGGTCCCCTGCACCGGGTGTGCGGAGTCTTAGCCATAGGACCACCAGGGAAGTCCCCTGTGTTGTAGGTTTTTTTTTAACTCTTCCTTTTAAAAAGCCCCTTTAAGAATGGTATATCCCGCACACCCCGCTCCGAGGTGGAAACGCTGAGCAAGCCGGAAAGAGAACTAACAGAATCGCGAGACGGTTCTCGAATGAGGACTGTCTCCCTGTGCTCCGATGATCGAGAGAGGCCTTGTGAATAAATAGTCAGCGGTGGGTTCAGAGGCGAGGATCCGCACGGGGCTCGGGAAGTCTGGGCCTTGACTTTCCCAGCTCACACGTGGTCCGGGCGTGCTGTGGTCACACCGTGTTCCCGCTGGCCCTGTTGCCTGCTTGTGGTCTGGCGATCTCAGATGCTCATGCGCACACGAGGCACAGTGGTGTGCACTCTCTGCATGCACAGGACGGATCCCCTTTGGAGCTGGGCGGGCCCTGAGCAGAGGTGCCATGACCGTGGCTGCCAACCTGCTGGGGGAGACAGCAGGGTCATGTCGCCCCAGCCCTTCCTGCGTATCTGAGCACCGCTCGGGTCTCGGATTAGCCCTCTGTCCGTCAGTCGAAATGGGCTTTCGTTGAATGAAGGTGCACCGTTTGGGCAATCCCCGCACTCACCATTAAATCGTTCTATTTCTTGGTTTTACAAACGTGCCCAGCATTCAGCATTGCAGAATGCACGTCTGAAGCAAAAAACACACGCCTGGAATTCGTGGTGGATTCTAGTGTCGTCACTAAAGACGCATCACAGAATGGTGGGACCCTCACAGACCCACTAAGCAGCTGAAGCCAATTCTTTCAGCATGCGGCTAAGGGCTGTGGTTGTTGCTCAGTCACTAGCTCATGTCCAACTCTTTGCGCCTCCATGGACTGCAGCATGCCAGGCCTCCCCGTCCATCACCATCTCCTAGTGTTTGCTTAAACTCATGTCCATCGCATCAGTGATGCCATCCAACCATCCCATCCTCTGTCGTCCCCTTCTCCTCCTGCCTTCAATCTTTCCCAGCATCGGGGTCTTTTCTAATGAGTCGGCTCCTCACATCGAGGGGCCAAAGTATTGAAGCTTCAGCTTCAGCATCAGTCCTTCCAATGATTAATCAGGGTTGATTTCCTTTAGGATGGACTGGTTGGATCTCCTTGCAGTCCAAGGGACTCTCAAGAGTCTTCTCCAGCACCACCATTTGAAAGCATCAGTTCTTTAGGTTCCACATGTAAGTGATATTATATGAAGCTTGTCTTCTGCAGCATGATCATCTAAAGGTCTCTTTGTTGTCATTTGCACACTGGTTTTCTGTGCAAATGTGGAGGTGGGTTTCTTTATGTAAACACTGGCATTGCTGGGACACCTTGAGGTGCCTGGCTCACAGTAGGTGATGGCCTTTCTCCCCGGGCAGGACAGAGGAAGGGCTCCTTTCTCATGGGATTTCATGTCAGTGCAATAATGGACCTGCATTTCTCCAGGGGCGACAAGTGATTTCATTTGGCATTTTCCGCATTGTAGGCACTAGGTTGTTCCAACATTGTGCCTCTTACTTTTTGCTGGTGGAATCAACTACGAAAGGTTCAGAGAGGAAACCGTAAGTCTTTCTTCTGAAATCCAAGTGTTCCATCTTCCTTTGCCAAAAGCACTACATAGAGTTGTTAATAAAAGAAACTGTTTTCAAGGCTGAATTTAGATAGTCCTACTAAATACTGAATGTATCTTGCCCTGGAAATCACGCAAATTGTAAAAGGAGCTAACAATGCCTTCCTCTTCCATTTATCTCTGAGGGTGTGTTTGCTTCCTGCCCCATGAGATGTGTTTCTGTAGATGACTGGGAAGCTTATAAAGAGGGAGTGGATGAGGCAGAAAGAGAAGTGGGATGGGGGGGAAATGCTCTCATTTAAGCCTCAAGGAAGCTCTCATCTTGTGAGGTGACTCTGGCCCTCTCACACTACATTCCCAAACAAGCGAATGAAACTCTGATCTCAGTTTCCTCATCTGTAAAATGGGAACACGATGCCAATATTTCAAAAACAAACTACAGCCATATGCTCATTAGAAATAAGCACCACTTACGAGACCTGGATTTGATCCCTGGGTTGGGAAGATCCCTTGGAGAAGGAAATGGCAGCCCACTCCAGTATTCTTGCCTGGAGAATCCCATGGACAGAGGAGCGTGGAGGGCTGTGGTCCATGGGGTTGCAAAGAATTAGACACAACTGAACGACTAACACTTTCATGTCCAGTTCGAAGAGACTACATGGTGTCATTGCTTTAGAAAGGCTGACTCGGGGTTGGCACTCTGTGGCCTGTGGTCCACGTTTGGCCTGCTACTTGTTTCTGGAAATAGCGTTTCATTAGCACAGAGCCACGCTCATTTGTTGCCATGTTGTCAATTTTGTGGTTGTTGTTGAGTCATTCAGTCATGTCCAACTGTTTGCGACCCCATGGACTGCAGCACGCCAGGCTTCCCTGTCCTTCACTATTTCTTGGACTTTGCTCAAACTCATGTCCATTGAGTCATGATGCCATCCAACCATCTCATTCTCTGTCACTCCCTTCTCCTCCTGCCTTCAATCTTTCCCAGCATCAGGGTCTTTTTTAATAAGTCTATGGCTGCTTTTTTTAAAAAGCACTTTTTAGTTTGTATTGGGGTATAGCTTATTAACAATATTGTGATAGTTTCAGATGGACAGTAAAGAGACTCAGCCATACATGTACATGTATCCATTCTGCCCCAAACTCCCCTCCCATCCAGGCTACCACATGGCATTGAGCAGACTTCCCTGTGCTGTCCAGCAGGTCCTTGCTGGTTCTTCATGCCAAATACAGCAGTGTGTCCATGTCCATCCCAGACTCCCTGACTATCCTTTCCCCCATCCTTCCCCCCGGGAACCATAAGGTTTTTACAGAGTAATAAATGCAGATATGCAGGGGTATGAGAGTCTTAGCCCCTCTGTCTCCCCTCCCCGTCTTTCTCACTTCTGACTGCCACCAGTTACGTGACCTCAGGCAGGTCACTTCACCAGCTCAAAACTATGGGTCAGAAGGTTGAACGATCCTTACCAGTTTAGGAAAAAAAAAAAAAAAACCTTGCCAAAAAAGTAGCTTACAGAATCCTGTAAGTCTTTATCATACTGTGGCATCAGCTATATGTACATAATTGTTTTCTATAGACTTCCAACTGCATTTAAAACTTTTCGTTTAATCCAGACATTATGTAAATTGAAAGAAAAGATCTTGTACATCTCAACAATGTGAATATACTTCATTTCACAATGTAGGGAACCACTTCACAAGGCCATGGATGGCTGCAACATGGAAATTTGTTGGGACTGATTGAAATCCTTCAGCTTAGAAGGGCAGACAGACTCTCGTCTGAAGTCTTCCGTGACTAAACAGATAAAGGAAGAGCTGGTTTACAGAGACTGATTGGGGCTGATAAACACATCACCTCTGCTATTACCTCTTGGCTCTGTAATTTTAAAGTGATTATTTGGGGGCGGGGGCGGGGGGAGGAAGAGATTGGAGTGTCTTATCTTCGTTATGGGAATATGCCATCTTGGTATTCTGAACACTGAATTGGGCCTTATGTTTAAGAGAATGTGAAAGTGCAAGAGTCAGTCACTCGCTCATGTCTGACTCTCTGTGACCCCATGGACTGTACCCACCAGGCTCCTCTGTCCATGGGATTCTCCAGGCAAGAAGACTGCAGTGGGTTGCCATTCCCTTCTCCAGGCAGGTATTCCTTGCCCAGGGATTGGACCTGGGTCTCCTGCATTGCAGGCAGATTCTTTCTTATTTGAGCCACCAGGGAAAAAGCTTGGAGCCAAATACTATTCATTCCTTTACTTAAAGCATAATTTCCTAATGCCATTTCATCAATTATGTTGTTTCATGTTTCACAAACTAGGTGATGCTATCCTGGACTATTGCAGTCACATGTAAGTCATGAGATATTTTTCTAGGGCAGTGAGTAATGATAGAATGAATGAAGTAGATTAAGGAAATGATGAAATACCACCAGTTGGCTTTCCTAAACTGGGAATTTTCTTTAGAAATGTAGGTGATTTTGCGCTTTTGCTGTGAACTTTGAATTTCTGGAAGCGTTAACTGTGTATTTTCAGCACATAGGCATCCAGGTGCATCGTTGAAAATGTGAATGGCTGTGATTATCTTTACACGTTTTAATTTTTCTTTTGCTGCGAAGCGGTGATGAGCTTGAAGACCAGCTTCCTCCGAGAAGGGTCTGCAGTGACCTGCTGTAGGTTCAGGATTGAATCACGCCACAGATTTGGTTCTAAGGGCCTCAGAGAATAAGAAGGCGGGAGGAAACTGTGGCGATATTCTGCTAACGGACTTGAATAGTGAGACATCTGGTCGACCCGCAGTAGGTGAACAGTCAGGTCAGGGCTGCGTTGGGGAGGCGTTGAGGCTCAACAACCATAGGAAGAGCTTCAGTAGCTCCTGGTTTCATGTCTAGGAAGTAACCTGGGAACGAGCGTGGCCAGAGCAGCAGGAGGAGCAGGGACAGGGAAGCAGAATCAGGATGTTATGTGTGGCAGGAACGCACAGGGCTTTGGGGAGGCTGCCATCTCTTTGGGGGGGTGGGGTGGGATAGGCAATGAGAGCTTCTGAATTGTGTCATGAAGAATCACCAGCTGGGACTTCCCTGGTGGTCTAGTAGCTAAGAGTCTGTGTTCCCAATGCACGGGGCCCATGTTCAATCCCTGCTCGGGGAACTGGGTCCCACCTGCCACAACTATGAGTTCCCATGTCCCAACTAAAGATACCACATGCCGGAACGAAGACCCGGCATGGCCAAAGAAATACAAATAAGTTTAAAAACAAAATAAATGAGACATAAAGAGAAATAAAAGAATACTGGAGTGGGTAGCCTATCCCTTCTCCAGCGGATCTTCCCAACCCAGGAATTGAACCAGGGTCTCCTGCATTGCAGGATTCTTTACCAGCTGAGCTACCAGGGAAGCCAAATAAATAAAAATAAATAAATAAAAAATGACTCACCAGCTGCCATGCCGAGAAAGGCTCAGACAGGCCTTCGCAATCATCAGGGAGAGAGGAAGTTGTCTTGGGCCCGGGATGTTATCCTGGTAGAGACAGTGGGAGGCCAGACAGACTCTACAGTATTGATATGCCCATGGGAGCTGATCAGTGAGAGCTCAGGAAGGATACAGCCTCGAGGTTTGGGGCGGGAGCCGTGGGAAGGAGGAGTGTGCATTTCCTGAGATGGGGTGTCTGTGGTGGGGAGTAAGGACTGGAGGGACTGAGACTCTGGTGTTGGCAGTTTCCCAAGTGGCTCAGTGGTAAAGAATCCGTCTGCCCAGGCAGGAGACATACGTTCGATCCCTGGGTCAGGGAGATTCCCCTGGAGAAGGACACGGCAACCCACTCCAATATTCTTGCCTCAAGAATCCCATGGACAGAGGAGTCTGGCAGGCTACAGTCCATGGTGCTGCAGAGAGTCAGACATAGCTCAGTGTCTAAACAACAACAACAGTTATTTTATATAAAACTATATTTCACATAAATATATTTCTGGGCCCTCCCAGGACTCCCTGAAATAGCATTATCTCAGTATGTGTCTTGGGCCCTCCCGGAAGGTTCCTAATGTTGATTGTTTGAGAACCACTTGGTCAAAAATACCATGTAATGTGCTTTGGATTAGTGATTAGCCTAGAAAAGCAATTACAAAACTTAAAAAAATAATAATAATCCACCAAACCTCCAGAACTTAGCTATCTTACAGGAAAGCAATAGATTTAAGAAAATAATAATTCATGTCTCCATCATTCCAAAAACGCAAAGCATCCTGAGAATAAAAACATGAGTATTTCCCCCTGTCTTCTTCATTTATATCGAGTTAGCTTCTTTGTGCCTCTGATACAGATGGTGTTAGAACTATTGGGCAGGCGTCTTGAAGCAAAACCATCTGTAAGTCCTTTGTGGTGAGCGGCATCTATATTTGCTCAGTTTCTGGGCTTCCCAGGTGGCGCTAGTGATAAAGAATCCACCTGTCAATGCAGGAGACATAAGCGACTCGGGTTTGATCCCTGGGCCTGGAAGATTCCCCTGGAGAAGGAAAAGGCTACCCACTCCAGTATCCTTGCCTGGAGAATCCCATGGACAAAGGAGCCTGGCGGGCTACAGTCTATAGGGTCACAAAGAGTTGGACACGACTGAAGCGACTGAGATGTACACGCACATGGCAAAAAAATGAGGGAAGGACCCCCAATTTCACACATACTTAGTCATCCTCGTATACATATCTCAAAAGGAGATTCGTCGGGTTGCCGGGGGAGTTGTTCTAGGACCTGGTCTCTCTTGATAGCTGAGAAGGTCCAGGTTTATGCAACAAATGAGAAACAGTGAAATGACAAACATGTTAGCCATCTGTCATCCCATTTGTAATGTGGATTTAAAAAAAAAATGGTTTGTTTTTGCTGATGTGTCCATGTGGCTCTTAACTTTGGACTAAAGGATATTAAGCTCCAGGTCCAGTCGGATGAAAACTTATTTGTGTGAGTTGGCCCTGGATTGCTGTTTTTTTCTTTTCAGAATTTTCAAAGGTATTTCACCATTGCTGATGTGTTTAATGTCACCCAACCTGAAAAGAATTTGACTGTGTTTTACAGAATTTTGTCAATTTCAGTACAGTGAAAATTTGGCAGGGTTGTGGTGGTGTGAAACTACCTAGATTACAAACATGGTCCAAAGGCATATGTCTTATCATTCAGTGGGCTTCCCTGATAGCTCATTTGGTAAAAAAAATAAAAAAATAAAAAAATCCACCTGCAATGCAGGAGACCCTGGTCCAATCCCTGTGTTTGGAAGATTCCCCTGGAGAAGGGAAAGGCTACCCACTCTGGCCTGGAGAATATGGGGTTGCAAAGAGTCGGACACAACTGAGCGACTTTCACTACTGTTCTGTAGACTGTATTTCAATTTGAGGCTTAAAAAGTGGTTCTTGATGCTGGGAAAGACTGAAGGCAGGAGGAGAAGGGGACAACAGAGGATGAGATGCTTGGATGGCATCATCCGCTCGATGGATATGAATTTGGGTAAACTCTGGGAGTTGGTGATGGACAGGGAGGCCTGGTGTGCTGTGGTCCATGAGGTTGCAAAGAGTCAGACACGACTGAGCGACTGAACTGCACCGAAGTGCTTATTTTCAGCTATCCTACATGTAAAGGGCACTGTTCCTGCGTTGACCCTGTAGTCATTACATGTGCAGAAATGGTGCTTCCGTGGTAGTTGTTCAGTCACTCAGTCGTGCCCGACTCTCTGTGACCCCATGGCCAGGCAGCACACCAGGCTCCCCTGTCCTTTGCCGTCTCCTGGAGTTTGCTCAAACTCCTGTCCATGGAGTCAGTGGTGCTTTCATGGTCATCCTCGACACTGAACTCTGTCTCCTGCGATTTCAGATCCGTCCGCACCCCCTGCCCCAGCCAACCTCCGGCTGGCGAACTCCACCGTCCACAGTGACGGAAGCGTGGCCGTGACCATCGCGTGGGATGTCCCCGAGGAACCAGACATCCCGGTGCACCACTACAAAGTCTTCTGGAGCTGGACGGTCAGTGGCAAGTCCCTTGTGCCGACCAAGAAGAAGAGGAGGAAGACCACAGATGGGGTAAGTGCCCATTCTGGGGAGGGGGCCCGGCGTCTAATGGAGGGGTTGAACTCAAGGCTCCCAGTTTAAGAACAGCCTCCGGTGAGCCCAGAAGAGGGGTGGATGAGGGATGAATTCCCATCTTTTTCCACTGACCGAGGAGGGTCAGCAATCAGAGGACCGCACTGGCCATTCAGCCCGGGACATTTTAGGTTGAGAACGCTTGAATGTCATCTGTTGACTTACTCATATCCAAAGGGCCGGCACAAACGCTAGAAATCAAAGGGACTGGAATGATGTCCATCTTACCTGTCTAGTCACTGAAAATGGTACAATTCAAAATGTCCTTGACATTGAGGTTTGCTTTTTGTTTTTTTTAAGCAATCCTTCTGAATTGGGGAGTTAAAGTTCGTACCTTTTGTGTTGTATATTGCAAGGTGCTCCCATCGGTAATGTCATTGCTGGAGCTGGAAACAGTTTACAAGATGTATGTTTGACAATATATGTTTCTCATTGATTAAAAGGACGTGGGATGGCTCATTGTCCATATAGCGAGAAATTGAAACATTTCATGCAATGAGATCTCCATAACACTGAACATTTTGCATTGTGTGACATGCTTAATTGTATAAAAACATGTCCTTTTAGTATACACTCCTTTATCTTGTTGTTACAAAACATAGATGAACAACTTCCCCTCTAATTTATAAGGTTGAATTCCATAAATCAATGTTAAAAATTGCTTTAAAAAGATAGCAAGTTTTAATAAAAATGAACATTCTAATATCTGTGCCATGGAGGATCGTCAAACATGTCTCTACCCGTCCACCTCACTGATATCCAGCTGCGATGCTGTTTTGGTTTATTTGTAAGAAACTTTCTGACAGTTCCAGGTTTTATTTCGTGGCACTCTGCAACAAGTGATAACTGATAATGGGTGCTTATCTCATAGAAAGTGCTGAAAGAGATAAAGATGGGAAATCACAGAAAGGGCAATCAGACTGTGACATGATAAAATAAATGCATGTATAGTGTACGTATAGTACATGTATAGTGTATATATGGAGAAGGCAATGGCAACCCACTCCAGTACTCTTGCCTGGAGAATCCCATGGATGGAGGAGCCTGGTAGGCTGTGGTCCATGGGGTTGCTAAGAGTCGGACATGACTGACGCGACTTAGCAGCAGCAGCGTATATATAGTACCTGGGGTATCAGATGGCCCCTAGACTAAAAGGAGATCGTGTGTGTGTGTGTATGTGTGTATTTTGTGCATCTGCAGGATGTGTGTGTGTGTGTGTATCCTGTGCCGTTTGCAGAGTGTATGTGTTTCCTCACCATTGCAGGGTATGCCTGTGTATTCTCTACCATTTGCAGGATGTGTGTGTGTGTGTGTGTGTCTGTGTGTATATGTTGTGCCATTTACAAGATGTGTGTGTCTGTGTGCGTATCCTGTGATCCCAGAAGGTGTGTGGGTGTTTCCCGTATCACTTGCAGGATATCTGTGTGTGTGTGTGTGTGTGTGAATCCTGTGCCTTTTGCAGGATGTTTGTGCGTGTGTGTGTGAGTGCCATTTGCAAGATGTGTGTCTGTGTGTATTTTGTGCTGTTTGCTGTGTGTGTGTGTCTTCAGCCATTTGCAGGATGTGTGTGTTTGTGTTTGTGTATTCTATGCCATTTGTAGGATATATGTGTATATGCGTGTGTGTGTGTATTTTATGCCAGTTCTAGGATTGTGTATGTGTTTGAATTGTGTGCCTGGCAGGATGTGTTCATGTGCGTGTATCCTGGGCCTTTTGCAGGATGGGCGTGTGTGTGTGTGTGTGTGTATCCTATGCCTTTTGTGGGAGTGTGTGTGTGGGTATTCTGTGCCATTTGCAGGATGAGTGTATATGTGTGTGTATCCTGTGTGATTTGCGGGCTGTGCGTGTACATGTACCGTGTCATTTGCACGGTGCATGTCTGTGTGTCCTGTTGCATTTGCCGTGTGTGTTCCTTCACAGGGACCCAGACCCTGGCCCCAACCCTGAAACCATCGAATCCTAGCCAGTGTACCACCACGGAACTGCCCGTGTACTCCCTTTTGGCAAATGTTTGAATCCTAAGACCACTAGCTTATTTCTCTTTAATTTCCAGTTCTTATAAGGGACCTTATTATCATACCCACAAGCCATGAAAACATGCTTTAAAAAGCATTCTGGCAGGTTGATTTTTCTTAACGACTTTCGGTGGAAATTTTCTCATAGAAGATGGAGGATCCATATCGGGGAGATACAGTTCCCATGTCGGGGAATGTCAGTTCGCTGGGTCTTTGCACGCGTGCGCTGACGAGAGCCTCTGCTAGTCTGTTATAAAGGGCTCTCGCTGTGTCTGTCAGCTGCCGTCCAGGAAGGAGTGACGGACACACACATGCGCGCACGCACACACATCCTGCCAGTGGCACATGATTCACACACACACACAGTCCTAGAACTCTCTAGGAGTGAGTTATTCACCCTCACGTGACTGCAGAGCGTCTGATAATGGGATTAGTGACACAGTTGTCCAAAAAAAAGAAGAAGATGCTTTTGCGTGGCATTTACTTGGATCCACGGCACGACTGGCTCTGCTAAAGATGTAGAAGGTTCTGTGATGTGAGTCCGGGTGGAGGTCAGGCGGGAGCGGGCGGGCTCCCCAAGGACCCGGGACCTCTGGCGGGAGGCCCAGGGCGCGGGCGGCTTGTGACGCAGTCTCGTCTCCCCTCCGCCTGCAGTCTCAGAACTCGGTGACCCTGGAGCCGCTGCAGCTGGGCTGCGACTACACTGTGGAGCTGCAAGCCATCGCGTACTGGGGCCAGACGCGCCTCAAGAGCGCCAAGGTGTCCCTGCGGTTCACGTCTGCGCACGCCGCCCGCAACAGTGAGTGTGCACGGCTCCGGTCCCTCACTTCCCGTCTTCACCGGGCAGGTCTTCCTCCCAGCTCGCGTGCGACTGTGTCCTGTGAACCAGCACGTGCGCACGTGTGACCTTGGCGTCTTCCTCGCCATCTTTGTCTATTTCGCGTGCAGTGTTCTGGTGTCGTAATGGAAACTTCAGAAGAAAAGGTGTGTCATTCTAGCAGATGCTCATGTTGACATGATTCAGTGTTATTCTAATGGAAACTTCAGAAGGAAAGGTGTCTCATCCTAGCAGACGCTGATATTGACATGATTCAGGGTCCTTATCCTAATGGAAACTTCAGAGAGAAAGGTGTCTCATCGTAGCAGATGCTAATATTGACATGATTCGGGGTCCTTATTCTAATGGAAACTTCAGAAGGAAAGGTGTCTCATCCTAGCAGATGCTGATATTGACATGATTCAGGGTCCTTATTCTAATGGAAACTTCAGAGAGAAAGGTGTCTCATCGTAGCAGATGCTGATATTGACATGATTCAGGGTCCTTATTCTAATGGAAACTTCAGAGAGAAAGGTGTCTCATCGTAGCAGATGCTGATATTGACATGATTCAGGGTCCTTATTCTAATGGAAACTTCAGAGAGAAAGGTGTCTCATTGTAGCAGATGCTAATATTGACACGATTCAGGGTCCTTATTCTAATGGAAACTTTGGAAGGAAAGGTGTCTCATCCTAGTGGATGCTGATATTGACATGATTCGGGGTCCTTATTCTAATGGAAACTTTGGAAGAAAAGGTGTCTCATCCTACCAGATGCAAATATTGACATGAATCAGGCTCCTTATGCAAATGTATCCTTATTTTTTACAGTTTTTTTTTTAATGTGTCTGTGCTGGGTCTTTGTAGATGTGAGGCCTTTTCTCTAGTAGCAGCAAGCAGGGAGTATTGTCTAGTTAAGGTGCAGGGGCTTCTCTTGGTGCTGGCTTCTCGTTGCAGACCATGGGTTCTAGGGCACACAGGCTCACTAGTTGTGATACATGGGCTTAGCATGGAATCACGATGTGTGGGATCTTCCCGGACTGGGTAGCAAACCCGTATCTCCTGCTTTGGCAGGCGGATTCTTTGACCACTGAGCCACCGGGGAAGCCCTGCCTCGGAGCTTTCTGTATGACTTTTATCTGTTTCATAGATAGTTGTGGTGTCACAATGGAAACTTAACAAGGTGTCTCATTCCAGCAAACGCTTGTGTTCACACAATCGGGTCTTCACGCACAGGTATACTGGTCTTCAAGGAGGTTCCTTGTAGCTAAACTCTCAGAAACTGTTGATTCCCTCCTCAAATGCAACATGCATTTGAGGCTTTCAACCCCTTTTTTGTGTGTGTGGGTTTCACACTGTGGTCACAGTTCCTGCAGAAGGCTACCCTGTACCACACTGAGAGCAGTGACCACGTCACCCCACGCCCACGTTACCCCATGCCCACGTCCTAGGCCCCAGTGTTTCCAAGCTCGTCTATGACCATGAACTTAGTACAGAGAGAGGAAGGGCATACAAGACCTTCTTCTCTGAGCCAGATGTTGGGTGATGTGGTGTGTCTGGCTTTTGCTGACAGCTGGGGAGTGGCGGGCAGGGCCGTGGGGAGGCTCCTGGGGCCGGGCTGATGGAAGGCCAGCCCAGGAGAGGCCACAGGCATCTCTGTGAGTGTTGCTGCCCCAGGCTCACAGGGTCTGCCTTTTGTCACGGATCCAGGCCTGGGTCCGACCAGGATGGTGTGACAAAGCGTCTAGAATTTAGGAAAGAGTAGGTTGAAGCTGAAACTCCAGTACTTTGGCCATGTGATGCGAAGAGCTGACTCACTGGAAAAGACCCTAATGCTGGGAAAGATTGAGGGTGGGAGGAGAAGGGGACAACAGAGGATGAGATGGTTGGATGGCATCACCGGCTCAGTGGACGTGAGTTTGGGTAAACTCCAGGAGTTGGTAATGAACAGGGAAGCCTGGCATGCTTCGGTTCATGGGGTCGCAAAGAGTCAGACACAACTAAATGACTGAACTGAACTGAACTGAGGCTGGCTCCTCTAAGTTAGATGCAGGGATTGTCCATAACCTCCTTCCTTGAGCTTGCGTGCATGCTTAGTCATGTCCAACTCTGTGACCCCCATGGGCTCCTCTGTCCATGGGATTCTCCAGGCAAGGATGCTGAAGTGGGTTGCCATTTCCTTCTCCAGGGGATCTTCCCGACCCAGGGATGGAACCTGTGTCTCCTGCATTGGCAGGCGGGTGCTTTAACCACTGACTGAGCCACTTGAATAGCCCTAATTATCTTGTACCACCTAGAAGATAGTGGGATCCAAAGGAGCAGGTCCACTTGAAATGGTGTTTTCCAAAAGACTTCTTGAGACAGAGCTTCCCACCTATTTCAGAAATGGTCCTTTGGGAGATTAAATGGATTTGACAAGTCCACTATTTCTGTGTGTAAGTCTGGGTACCCTACAACTTTTATGTAAAAATTCTCACGGAAACATTTCTGAACATTTAATAACTTCATTGATTTTTTTTAAAGAAGTTTTTTTTTTTATTGAAGTTTAGTTGATTTACAACGTGTGGCAATTTTCTGCTGTAGAGAAAAGTCATTTCAGTTATATATATATATATATGTACATTTTAGAAAGTATATTCTTTGCCATGATGGTTTATCACAGGATATTGAATATAGTTTCCTGCGATACCAGTAGGACCTTGCTGCTTATCCATTCTCCATATCAAAGCTCACAACTGCTAACCCCAACCTCCCACTCCATCCTTCCCCATCACCTGCCCCCTTGGTAATCACCAGTCTGTTCTCAGTGGCTGTGAGTCTGTTTCTGCTTCATAGGTAAGTTCATTACTGTCATATTTTAGATTCCACAAGCAAGGGATATCATACAGTATTCATCTTTCTTTGTCAGACTTAATTCACTTAGTATGATCATCGCTAGGTCCATCCATGTCACTGCAAACAGCACTGGTTCATTCTTTTTCATGGGTGAGTAATATTCCACTGTCTATATGTACTTCATCTTCTTTATCCATTCCCTGTGTTGATGGGCCTTTGGGCTGTTTCACATGTGTTGGCTGTTGTGAATAGTGCTGCAGTGAATGTAGAGGTGCATGTACCTTTTTGGATTATACTTTTATCTGGATACATGCCCAGGAATGGGGTAGCTGGATCATATGATAGTTCTACTTTCAGTTTTTTTAGGAACTTCCATACTGTACCATAGTGGCTGTACCCAGCATTCACTAATTTCTTTAAATGCAGTTCTACATTCATTCATCCAGTATTCCTGGGCTTCCCTGGTGGCCCCGCTGGTAAAGAACCTACCTGCAATGCAGGAGACCTGGGTTCAATCCCTGGATTGGGAAGATCCCCTGGAGAAGGGGAAGGCTACTCACTCCAGGATTCTGGCCTGGAGAATTCCATGCGCTGTATAGCCCATGGGGTCGCAAAGAGTTGGACACGACTGAGCAGCTTGCACACTTTGATTAATTCATCAAACTGCGTCTAACTATGGGAATAGTTACTATATTATACTATCATAGATTGCACTAGAGTATAATTGCAATAGAGTATATATGTCATATACATAGCAAAAAGTATATATTTAAATGAGTATATACAGTATATAGAGTATGTGTATGTGTACATTATACAGTCTGTATGTACTATGTATTTCTGTGTATTCTATGTAATACTGTGTCTTCATGTATTCACACGAACTCACGTACATGTTACTGCATTAGACGCACTTGATGTCGGCCTTCCGAGAGCCCAGTGTGGAGTCTGTAAACGCGTGGCTAGGATAACAGAGAGACTAGCCCATGGTGCAGAAAGCTGCAGGGGAATCATGGAGGCAGACAGACTGATGTGGCGGTAGGCACTGAGCCTACCAGCCTTCTCCCAGGCCCTGCAGTGTGGGTGCTCCATGGAGCACCGGTCATCACACTGCACGCGTGCAGCGCTGGAACAGAGCACTGTGTGTGCAGAGAACCAGCGTGGGGAATGGGGGTGGGGTGGGGAATGAAGCAGGGGGAAGCACTCCCCGCCCTTGGAGACTGCAGTCAGTCCCATGGGTGTCCTGCCGTCCGTGTGCCCAGGCCACCCTGGGCCCCCCCACCCGACGCCTCCTCCCCCCACCCAACCCCGAAACCAGAGCTGTATGTTGGGCTGCCCGCCTGGCACGGCTGCTGGGATGGCTGACAGTTGAACTGGAACGTCCTCCAAGCCACGCTTTTCCCGTCTTCTTACCACTGTTTGTCTGCATGGCCCTCCTGACACCCCCCGCCCACCACCCACCCAGAGCACCTGTCTCTCAGCCCTTCTGTTCGAGCCCGAGGTCAGCAGAGGGCGTTTTTCATGCCTCAGTTTACCTCTCTCCAGAAATCCAGTTCATTAGGAATCAAAGTCCCCTGGTCTCCTAATGTCACCTGTGACGTGGGGCCCTGTCCAGTTCTTGCCCTTGTCCAGGTCACTGCCACTTTCCTTATACAATTCATCTCCTAATTCTTATTGGTTTCCAGCCTTTCTTCCATATCTCTCTTATAGATGACTGTCAGAAGAGTCTCTAGAAAACAGCATCCAGCATCACAGATTTCTTCTCCTCTCAAGACTGTCACGTATTCCTGTCTTCACTTCTGCCCAGATCTCATGCTTTCCTGTTTCCCCAACTTATCACTCCCCGATTTCTCCTCAAACCAAAATCCTGTAACTGTCTGATTCTCCTGAGACTGTAGTTTTGCTCCTACCAGTGGTGGGCATTTCTGTCTTCTGCAGAGTAAGCTGGCCTTTTGGTGTCTTTCCGGTTTTCCCAATAAACAGCGTTCCTTCCCCTTTAGAGGCTGGTACAGCTGTGATCCATGAAGGGGCCGTATGAGTCCTGTCATTTAATATGCGTTTCTGCCCACAACCAAGAACACCATGGACAGAGGAGCCTGGTGGGCTACAGTCCAGTTCAGCTCAGTCGCTCAGTTGTGTCCGACACTCTGCAGCCCCATGGACCGCAGCACGCCAGGCCTCCCTGTCCATCACAAACTCCCGGAGTCCATCCAAACCCATCTCTATTGAGTCAGTGATGCCATCAAACCATCTCATCCTCTGTCGGCCCCTTCTCCTCCTGCCCTTAATCTTTCCCAGCGTCGGGGTCTTTTCGAATGAGTCAGCTCTTCACATCAGGTGGTCAAAGTATTGGAGTTTCAGCTTCAACATCAGTCCTTCCAATGAACACTCCGGATTGATATCCTTTAGAATGGACTGGTTGGATCTCCTTGCAGTCCAAGGGACACTCAAGAGTCTTCTCCAACACCACAGTTCCAAAGCATCAATTCTTCGGCGCTCAGCTTTCTTTATAGTCCAACTCTCACATCCACACATGACTACTGGAAAAACCATAGCCTTGACTAGACAGACCTTTGTTGGCAAAGTAATGTCTCTGCTTTTTAATATGCTGTCTAGGGTTGGTCATAACTTTTGGCTACAGATTTGGACATGACTGAGCACGTGTGTACTGTTTTACCTAACCAAGACAGAGATCTGATACTTAACCTACCAAAGGCCACTTTATTCTAGGATTAGCTTATTCCTGTCAGAAGGATCAGAACAATAAAAATAAAAAATAAGTGATACTGCGAAGTGCCTGTCATAATACATGTTACTTGGGTTTCAGGGTGGCCTGCAGCAGACACTGTCTTTACACAGGATTAGGCGGGACACAGCTGAGAATGTGTCAGGACATGCTTTGTAACCCAATGTTGATGTATAATCCCATAAACACTAATGTGCGCCTGTGACAGGAACACAATGTGTTTTCATCATGAACCAACCAGAAGTAAAGACTCATTACAACTTTCCAGTTTAAGCAAGGGAAATTATATTTTAGAGGAAGCAGTGCTGTAAATGTCAGCATATAAATTGCTTTTTGAATGCTGTTTTTCCAGGCCTGCAGGCTACTAGGTGTTTTAATGATAAATGTTTCTATGAAAGCAAAGCCTGCATGTTCACACAGTTTTATAAAAGGGTCCCTTGAAGGAAAGAAAGACATAATACTATCTTTAATGGAAATGTTACTTGCTCTCTTGGGAGGCAGGAGGAACATTTCCAGGGGTGACAGATTCCAAGTGCTTGATGTAGTTGCTTCATGGAGCTGGAAGAACATTCCAGCTCTGCAAAATAAAAATGGGGCAGAGAGAAAAGGCTCCCAGTCTCGGTAAAGTTCATCTTCACTTTGACATCCGGAGAAATGGCCTAGTCACTCAGTTCTCTTTAAGTTTCAGGACTATTAAAGAGTATAAATCAGGCCTCATACATTTTCAGGATGTGGAAAAATGACTTTTATATTCCATTTTTGTTTCCTGCTGGAAGTGGAGGACACGCCCAGAGGGAGGGACGTTCCCCCAGGGCTGAGGTTAGACTGTGTCCTCTGTGTGGGGGCGTGTCCCCGGTGTGGGCGTGTCCCTGGTGTGGGGGCGTGTCCTCTGGGACACGTGCTCTCTGTGTGGGCGTGTCCTCTGTGTGGGCGTGTGTCCTCTGGGGCGTGTCCTCTGTGGGGGGCGTGTCCACGCATGCTCACGCTGGACTCATTCAGTAAAGCAGCAGACGCTCAATCCTGAGATATATACGCTTTTTTACGTCCACAGTGAAAACTAAGCATTTCCATGGGATATAACAGGCCGAAGGAGGACAATATTCACAGAGAGGTTAAACAATCGTCTAGACTGTCTTGGTTATCTGCCAGTGAATTCTTAACACGACAGGTTATTAAAGGAATTAGATGCATAAGTGAGCTTGTGAAACATTTAAGATTTGTGAAAAATCTTAAACCTTCTACAAAAGCTTTTTATAGGAGTACAGTTGATTTTACAGCATTGGCGTTCGTTTCTGCTATACAGAACAGGCAGTTAGATGTGTACATGCATATCCCCTCTTTTTGGATGCCTTCTCATATAGACCATTACAGAACATCAGGTAGAGCTCTTCGTGGTATAGAGCAGGGTCTCCTTCAATTCGGTTCAGTCGCTCAGTCGTGTCCAGTTCTTTGGGACCCCATGGACTGCAGCATGCCAGGCCTCCCTGTCCATCACCAGCTCCCGGAGTTTGCTCAAACTCACGTCCTCAAATCAGTGATGCCATCCAACTATCTCATCCTCTGTCGTCCCCTTCTCCTCCCGCCTTCCATCTTCCCCAGCATTGGGGTCTTTTCCAATGAGTCAGTTCTTCGCAACAGGTGGCCAAAGTATTTGAGTTTCAGCTTCAGCATCAGTCCTTCCAATGAATATTCAGGACTGATTTCCTTTAGGATGGACTGGTTGGATCTGCTTGCAGTACAAGGGACTCTCCAGAGTCTTCTCCAACCCCATAGTTCAAAAGCATCAATTCTTCAGTGCTCAGCTTTCTTTATAGTCCAATTCTCACATCCATACATGACTACTAGAAAAACCATAGCTTTGACTAGACGAACCTTTGTTGGCAAAGTAATGTCTCTGCTTTTTAATATGCTGTCTAGGTTGGTCATAGCTTTTCTTCCAAGGAGCAAGTGTCTTTTCATTTCATGGCTGCAGTCACCATCTGCAGTGATTTCGGAGCCCCCCCAAAATGAAGTCTGTCACTGTTTCTGTTGTTTCCCCANACATTGCATCATTTTAGGGATATTGACCTGTCTTCACCTCTTTCCTAGAAAGAGGTCTTGTGTCTCAAACACTCAAAACACTCACTATTTTGCACTGTAAAGCTCTGTTCTAAAGTAATTATTTATTAAAAAGGTGCATAACACAAATAATTTGAAAGACAGGAAAAAGGCCAATTCTCTTCGTAGTATTTCACGGAAGTAGAGTTTTAGTGGATTTGCTTACATAAGTTTATTATACCTCTCGTTTCTCACCCAGTTGTATATGTATGTGTGCGCATTAGTTTCTCAGTGGGGTCCGAGTCTTTGCGACCCCATGGACTGTCCATGGGGTTCTCTGGGCAAGAATACTGTAGTGGGTTGCCATTCCCTCCTCCAGGGGATCTTCCCAACCCAGGGATCGAACCCAGGTCTCTTGAATTGCAGGCAGAGCTACCAGGGAAGCCATTTTTATGTGTGTGTGTGTGTGTGTGTGTGTGTATGTAAAATGAACACATTTTCAAATACTGTATTTGCATTTTATATACTGTTAGCATTTTTAATAACATTTTGAAATGGCTACCTTGATATTACATGTCGTCATAATTGCACTGTAGTCAAACATTTAGTTGCCTTCAGAATTTCTGTCTTGTCATTAATACTGCAGTAAACATTCATCCTTAGAATAGATTCTGTTTTCTTTTTACCTCTGAGATAAATTCCTTTCATGCCTTTGTTTTGTTTCCTAGGAGTATTTGTTTTGCGTTACTGAAAAACCGCTTTTAGAGATAATTGACATACATACTATCACTTCTATGCATTTTAAGACACAAAAATCTATTTTAGGCAAAATTGTTTCATGAATTAGTTTTCAAAATTCTTACTTTTCTGAGGCATTATTTTACTCAGTGTATCAGCTCATGTGCCATTCGGGATATTGGCGCTGGAGCTCCTGTTCTGGAATTTTCCTCCAGGCTGCTCAAATTCATTCTGTAGCCAAAATAACATTAACAATAAGGTTTAGAGTTTTATTGCTATCGTATGTTAATTTAAATTTATTCAATATTACTATTACAATGTATGCATATTGTAACATTTAACTTAATATTAATTGATTAATTTTACTATTAATATTAAATTAACATTAAATTGTAGAATTTATTTAATCTCTTGTACAGTCAGCTCTGCACATCAGGGGGTTCTGTATCTGCATATTCACCCGCCTGTGGGTCCTATACTCTTGTCTGTGGTCAGCAGCTGGTTGAACCCAAGGATGCAGAACCCGGAGGTATGAAGTGCTCACTGTGGGACTCCAGCATGCATCCATTTGGTATCCAAGGCGGGGGTCCGATCCCCAACCTCCAGTGGTACCAGAGGATGACTGTCCTTACCAATTTAAAATTCGTATTGTACGTCCATATGGCATTAGTATCAATAAAATAGCACATTTTATCACTGAACATGTAAGCATCTCATCTAATGAAAAGGCAAACAAAGGAGATGCAAACATCCTAGGCACACAGGAGTAAACCACCAATATCCTGACTTCTGAACATGCACATGTGCTGTGCGTGTACTTGAATTTATACAGATGGGATCTCAGCTATCTGTACCTGGCTTCTCACAGTGAACAGTACATGGGGGGTGCTCTCCCAGTCTCCTGCAGGAAGCAGTGATTCAGCCACTCATGCTGCTGTACCGTTTGTCCCCAGGACACCTCCAGCTGTGAAGTTTCTTGTCAGCAGTGGCTGGAGATTTGGTTTGCCCCAGTGATGGGCTGTGTAAGAAGGCCTTACCTGGAGGTCCAGTGGTCAAGACTTCACCTTCCAAGGCAGGGGTTGCAAGTTTCATCCTTGATCAGGAAGCCAGGATCACACGTGCCTTGGGGCCAAAAGCAAAACGAAACGTTAAGCAGAGGGATGTTGTAGCAAATTCAATACTTTCAAAGGATCCACATCAAAGAATCTTAAAGATGGAAAAGAGCAGCGCTGATGTGAACATCCTGTGAACACACCTTCTGAGTCACACATGTGTGTATATATATTCCCCCCACCCAGAGGTGAGACGCCTAAGTCAGAGGATGTCGACCCCCTTGAAGAGTTTTGCACAGGTCTTGGACCATGCACCCACCCACCAGGAGGCTTAGATGTTCTCCACACAGTCTTCCCAAGCGGAGAATCCATCTTTTTCTCACCTCAGTGCTTCTGGTACGCGTATCGTGATGGCTCGCTGCTCTGTATCTGCACATTTCAGGTCGTCCCGGGGTTGAACACCTCTTCGTGAGTTTATTGGCGATGGGGCTTTTCTTTTCCAAAGCACGCTCCAGGGGGTTTAGCCCGTCTGTCCTGCAGGAGTCCTTTATGTATGGAGTGTGTGAGTCATCTGCTGGTTTCATCTCAGTTTCTTTCTACTTTTATTTCTTTCGCTTTCTTAATAGTTCTTACTTTGGTGCTTCACTGGGCTTCCCTGATAGCTCAGCTGGTAAAGAATCCACCTGCAATGCAGGAGACCCCAGTTCGATTCCTGGGTCAGGAAGATCCGCTGGAGAAGGGATAGGCTAACCCACTGCAGTATTCTTGGGCTTCCCCTGTGGCTCAGATGGTAAAGAATGTGTCTGCAATGCGGGAGACCTGGGTTCGATCCCTGAGTCAGGAAGATCCCCCGGAGAAGGGAAAGGCTGCCCACTCCAGTATTCTGGCCTGGAGAATTGCATGGACTGTATAGTCCATGGGGTCGCAAAGAGCGGGACACGACTGAGCGACTTTCACTTTCACTCGGGGCTTCACTAGTGGATCAGATGGTAAACGATGTGTCTGCAAAGCGGGAGACCCGGGTTTGATCCCTGGGTTGGGACGATCCCCTGGAAAAGGGAAATGGCTATGCTGGTTTTAATCTAGGTCTTTCCTGGTTTTATCTAAGTCTTTCTCTACTTTTTTTTTTTTTTCAGCTTCTTAATAGTTCTTCCTTTAAGAGATGACCAGTTCATCATTTCGTTTCCTTCAGGTTCACTGTGCTCCGCGTCCTGTGTGAGCACTCTCCTCACACACGGTCACTCAGATGCCCTCCTTACATCCGAGGAGGGGCGTTGTTCCATCTTTGCTTCTCAGCTGACTTTCATTCGGATTTCATTTCTGTCATAAGGATCCAACATAGGGCATCAACGTTCCCTTATTTTTCTTTTCCTCTTTTCCCCCCCAACAGAAAGAAAGAATTTGTTTATTGACGCATAGTTGATTTCCAGCATTTTCTATGAAAATCATCATGTTGTCAGTAAATCATAAGAGAGTTACATTTTCCTTTCCAGGCTTTGCACATTTTTGCTTCTTTGCCCTGTCTTAACGCTGGCTGAGGCTTTGAGTGCAATGTTGACTGAGAGTTATGGTTACAGACATCATGTTTGCTTGAAATTCCTTTCTGCCTCTTTCATTTCTGTTTATTCAAAATCAGGATCAGTCAGAAGCACTTTTTTCTTTGCTTTCTTCTGGGTTTCTTTATCAATTTACCAGTAATTAGAAAACAGGTCTAACTGTTTCACTAGTAATATGGAAACAGGTGGTAGTATTATTTATAAGTAAGAGAAATCATTGCAATTAAGTATCTCCAAGCAACCATCATATGTAAAACACAGTTCACTTGTAGTACTCAGACCAGAGTAACGTGGAGTTTTAAGAATACTTTCTTAAGTAAGGGTGGAACTTAAGATCCCCTAGAGCAGTGGTCCCCAACCTCAGATCTAATGCTTGATGCTCAGAGGTGGAGCTGATGGAATAAATAATAAGAGAAAGCACACAACAAAGAGAATGCCACTTCTGAAAGTGAAGTCGCTCAGTCTTGTCTGACTCTCAGCGACCCCACAGACTGTAGCCCACCAGGCTCCTCCGTCCATGGGATTTTTCCAGGCGAGAGTACTGGAGTGGGTTGCCATTTCCTTCTCCAGGAATGCACTTGAATCATATCAAAAACTATTCACCCCCACCGCCTACCCCTATCCGTGGAAAAATGGTCTTCCACGAAACCGGTCCCTGCTACCACCTCGAAGGTCGGGGACCGCTGCTCTAGAGGGAAGAGGAGTCAAGACCCGTCTCAACGGCCCGCACAAAGCGCCGTGAGGCGGCCGGGGACCCCGACAGTGAGTGCCCAGAGGAACTGGAGAACCCTGGGGAGCTCTGAGACAGAGGCGGAGAGGAGCCGGGGTGGTTTCCACAGGAGGGAAGGGGTGAGTGAGGTCAGAACCACCCTGAGATGGCGTGTGAGGTGTGGAGTCATGGTCCGGCACGTGGTCACTACCCACACCGAGTGATGGCTCTGGAATCAGCTGAGTCAGCATGTTTGCAGCCAAAGGTGAGGACGGGTTCAAAGGAGGGCTTCCCCATGGTGCTAGTGGTAAAGAACCCGCCTGCCAATGCAGGAGACATAAGATATGCGGGCTCCATCCCTGGGTGGGGAAGATCCCAGGGAGGAGGGCATGGCAACCCACTCCAGTATCCTTGCCTGGAGAATCCCATGGACAGAGGAGCCTGGTGGGCTACAATCCATGGTGTTGCAAAGAGTCGGACACGAGTGAATGACTGAGCATGCATGCATGGCTTAAAAGTAACACGTGAACATGCTGTGGAATTTGTCTCTTTAAGGCTCTATCTTACGCTGCTGCTGCTGCTAAGTCGCTTCAGTCGTGTCTGACTCTGTGCAACCCCATAGATGGCAGCCCACCAGGTTCCTCTGTCCCTGGGATTCTCCAGGCAAGAACACTGGAGTGGGCTGCCATTTCCTTCTCCGATACCTTACTCTACTGACTTGAAAAGGAAAGACAGGCCGTGGATCGTCCGTGCCCATGGGACTGTGTCCTTGCAGATTCGTGGAGTCACTGAGGTTTATGCACCAGTCCTGGGATGCTTGTGGTCCTCGGTGAAGATACCTGTGCAGGGTGTGGTGCTGGGCTGGAGGGGCCCTGAGTCCACGTTCCCATCCGATGCTGCCCTCTTGAACCGGAACACACCCTGGGCGTGGTCTGCTTTCCTGCCATGGACGCGGTGTCTGCCTCACTGAGATCTGTTCTGTGTAATAGAGGCCCGGAGCACAGCGCTACCCCCTAAGGCTCCCCAGTAGGAAGGTGACGCCCTATCTGGCAGTGCAGATTGGGGGCAGGCCCGTCTCCCTGCAGATGTGGCTTGTGGCACCGTGAGCTCAGTGTGAGGGAGATAGTAACGCGGAGCTGCCTCCAGAAACAGCGAGAGGAGAGCCACAGATTCAGGCTTGAGGCTGCCTGTCAGAGGCCGGGGTCACACCGAGAGCCCGTGAGGCTGCTCTGAAAAAGGGGAAGAAAGAAACAGTGCAAGTCGCTCAGTCGTGTCCGACTCTCTGCAACCCCGTGGACTATACAGTCCATGGGATTCTCCAGGCCAGGATACTGGAGTGGGTTGCCATGCCCTCCTCCAGGGGATCTTCCCAAACCAGGGTTCAAACCCGGGTCTCCTGCATTGCAGGTGGATTGTTTCCCAGCTGAGCCACCAAGGAAGCTCCGGCTCAGGGCACTGGCTGCCCCAGTCCCCTGGCCCTGGGGTGGTGATGAGGTGGGCTTGGGGCCCCGAGGGTGAGGGTCTCCCCTCTGAGGACGTGTTGGGGTGTGTGTGGGCTCTGGGTCGGCCGGTCTGCACAGAACATGGGTGCCTGCAGGTGAGCCGTCTGCTCTCTGGACATAACGCCATCCTGGGGAGGGCCGTCTCGCCAGGCCCCAGGAGGTCAGAACCTCCCAGATACAGGAAACCGAAGACATCGTTAAATAAAGGCAGAGGGAACGCAGAAGAGCAGGAATCTAGGGTGTGGAGTCCACTGAGCCAGCCACGGGAGGTGATTGGAAAGCCTTTGGTTTGCACAGAGATCCTCACCAAGGTGGGGTCTGTGTCCAGAGACCTGGGGCGTGCACTCGGGCCAGAGGCTTGCGGAGCTAAGGGGCGGGAATGGCCATCAGATGTGTGGCTCGGTACCTGCTCCTGTGAACCGAAAGGAAGGGTCTGATCCCTTCAGCGGCAGCAGCAAATGCTTCGATTTGCTTTCTGGGCTTGAGGGATGCAGGGGTTCACCACGTACAGAAGTGAGTTTGCCATCGGGGCATACAGGGGCATCGGGTGGCGCCCTGCCCACCGTCACCTGCCCTGCCCACCTATTCCGTGAGCTGTGCCCACGCCGTAGTCATCACCATAACCAACCTGTCAGCACACCATGCTTCTGTCATGATCGTTCTGTATTCACCTGTATCCCACCTCCATCCAACCTAACTTGGACGTCACCCAGGCATTCTGTTACTTACCCAGACGCCTCCGTATTTCGGGTCCACGGAGGTCATTTCAGCACGATGCGTCGAGCAGCGCCACCTGTTGAAAGAAAGGGTATGAATTCACTCATTGGTTGATTTTATACTTTGCGTGTAATGTACAGTTCTTCTCCAGTGAACCCACAGCTCTTGATGTCTGCTGTGTAAGAACTTACAGCCTCCATTCAGGGCTTGCCGTTTTTATCTGAACGGTATTGATGCCTGCTTGGTATCGGTTTACTTTCTGGTGGAAAAGTCTTCCTTTTCTCGTTTCCCAAAGTGCCCTAGAGCAAGTTCCCAGCGGACCGAGCACTCCATCAAACAGGTCTGCACTCTGAAAACCTCCCACCAAATGCTTGGTTTGAGTGCAGCCGGGATTCGAAGCTGATCACCCTGGGAGTGGGGGTGTGGGTGGGGGGCGATGCCTTTCACGGCCGCCCGGGGACTCACTGGGTAATTGATAAAGCCGGCCCAGCCCCTGTTCCCACACTCAGGCCTGGCTCCACAGCACTTTTGTCATTTTTTTCCACTCGGTTGATCGCCCAAAGAAAAGACGTGGACAGAAAACGCGCCACTTGGGCTGGAGGTGGAGACGTTACGTAAGGGGTAGCACCCTGTTCTCTGGGTGCTGGGGGAGCAGGTCTGATTTGTGCAGGAGTCACACAGCCGGCGAGGCTGGCACGCACTCACTGCAGACTGTTCTCACCCTCGTCTCCCAAGGAGGAGACCCTGTCCACACGGAGCACATGCGGAGCACACAGAGCACACACGGAGTTCACACATGGAGCACACACGGAATTTACATGGAGTCCACACAGAGCACACACGTAGCACACACGGAGTCACTTGGAGCACACACGGAGTCCACACGGAGCACCCACGGAGCACACACAGAGTTCACATCAAGTCCACCCAGAGCACACACGGAATCCACATGGAGCACACACGGAATCCACATGGAGCTCACATGGAGTTCACACAGAGCACACACGGAATCCACATGGAGCTCACATGGAGTCCACACACAGCACACACGGAGTTCACATCAAGTCCACCCAGAGCACACATGGAGTCCACACACGGAGCACACACAGAATCCACACGGAGCACACATGGAGTCACACGGAGCCCACACGGAATCCACANGTTCCTATAAGGTTATCTATGTACCATACACGAGGTCCTGACAGCGACATCCCAGAATGGACACACACACACACGCTAACACACAAGGGAGACAAACCTCGCATTAGCTTGTTACAGCCGTCACGGTCAGCTTTCCTGTTCCAGTAAGGTTCTATATGTGTGCAGGAGGCCGCAACAACGACATCCTACAGTGGGCATGCACACGCTCACACACAGAGAGAGAGAAACAGCACAGTAGCTTGTTACCACCATCACTGTCAGCTTCCTCTTCCTGCAAGGCCACATTCCCAGCCCCTCAGCCCTCCACTGTTGAGGCTGGCCTTGTAATTCTGTTTAATCATCACCTTCTGGCCGGAACCAACCAGAGAGAGCCGTCCAGAAAGGGGAGGCTCCAAAATGTCTTCTCTGCCTTCAGGAAAGACTGAGCCTGCATCTGGGAGGAAGCCCGAGCTAACTTTTTTTTTCTTCTTTTTAATAACAAATCATGTTGATAGTCACAGCTTTTCACCCTCCCTCTCCAGCCAGCTCCCCACGGTGGGTCGTGATGGTCAGAACGGGGCTGCTATGGACCGAACGCTTCCCCCAGGTTGTTCTAGAGCCTGGGTGACCCCCCTCACCCAGGGAGTGGGTCATGCTTGTGATTCATCTCGGCGGGGACCCTATGTTTTGTGAAAAGGCTGTATCACATACACACACACCGCCCTGCCACATTACAAGAAGACAACCGCCTGGGATATCATTGCATCTCCTGCCAAGTCCGTTCCCTCGTGAGATTTTTACAGCTAGCCTGTTCTCTCTGTCTCCATCTCGCTCTAGGAAAACTACATGATTCTTCCAGACCTGTCGTTCTCCTGCAAATACAAGGTGATCGTGCAAGCCGCACGGCCCCTGGGCCGCTGGAAAGCGGAGAGCGCGTCCTTCACGACCCCGCCATGCTCCGCGCTCAAGGGGAAGACCCACAAGCACTTCAGCTGCCCCGGCGTGGAGGAGGGTACGTGTCACCTGGAATCCCCGGGGGCGCGGCGGTGGGCACAGCGCCAAAGCGTGATTCACAAGGCCCTGAGACCCACAAGGATCGCCCCTTTCTAGACGGCCCTAGGACAGCCCTGTCTGAAGGTAACCTGTGTATGAACGCTCACATCAGTTCAGAAGTCCAGCTGCACTTAGCGACACAGGCTTTGCTGAAGGATCAGCCCTTAGAACTTGAAAATGAAAGTCGCTCAGTTGTGTCTGACTCTTTGCGACCCCATGGACTTGGAATTCCCCATGGCGTGGAATTCTCCAGGCTGGGATACTGGAGTGGGTGGCCTTTCCCTTCTCCAGGGGATCTTCCCAACCCAGGGATCGAACCCAGGTCTCCCTCGTTGCAGGCGGATTCTTTACCAGCTGAGCCCCCAGGGAAGCCCAAACCCTTAGAAGCGGGGGCCGGCATCTCTCCACAGGTGCTGCGGGGCACCTCGTGTCATTCACTTGACTTGGGCTCAGCCCGGCCCCAGGGGCATTACCCTTCACACCCTTTCCATCCCCCGTCTCCATCTTCTGCAGCCCAGCCCACATCGAGGGACCCTTATCCTCAGAGGCCCCGCCTGGGAGCTAATCCTGGTCACTGCCGACGGCTCTCATGGTGACCCCAGCCTTCCCCACCCGCCCCCTGCCCCAACTCCTGCCCTCTCAGTGGCCGGGTCCTCTGAGATCACGGCACTCTTTTCTGCATTGTCCACCCCCATGTGCAAGCTGGACTCAAAAATGACCCTGAGCCATGAGCAGCCACTGGGCTCAGAGCTGCAGGGATGAGGGTCTAGCTCAGATGCCATCCGCCCAGGTGGCTGTGGGAGCCCCCCCCCCACCCCCACCAAGGGAGGCTGCGTCACTGACCCTGGGGCCCAGAGAGCTGCAGTCTGAACAGTGCCTCCTACCCAGGGTAGAAAGCTGTCCTCTCTCCACCCCCTTAACCCCCCCACCCCACAGTTCCCCTTCCTGCACCCACAGGTCGCAGTCACGTGCGCCCCAAAGTGCAGGCCAAGCCCGAGAACCTGTCCGCCTCCTTCGCGGTGCACGATGCCAACATCACAGGGCACTTCTCCTGGACGGTGAGCAAGGCGGGCCTGCCGCGGCCGGCCACCGGCTTCCAGGTGACCTGGGCTGAGGTCACCACCGAGAGCCGGCCCAACAGCCTCCCGAACAGCATCATCTCACAGTCCCAGATCCTGCCCGCGGTGAGCACCTGTCCGCCCACCCCATCTCGGGGTGGGTCCCCCCGTCACGCGGCCGGAGCATCCCTGGGGGAAGCACTCGGGCTCCCCAAACCCCTCTGCAGGGCAACTTGCTGAGACTCACATGTAGGCTTTCTTCTCCTGCATGAATTCTTTTGCAACAGTCAAAACACACCGCCAGGGTTCCTGTGGGACCCCAGTGAATTCTTTAGTAAGAATCGGAACACAGCAGCAGGGTTCCTGTAGATTAACTATCATCACCATAAACTTAGGAGAAACTGTCATCTAGCTAAACGTGATGACCAGGGCCAGCTCTGAAGGAGACCTCTCCTGTCCACACAGAACGCAAAGGCTTCACCATTTTCTGTTCTTTGGAATCCCTGTCCTTTTGGGCCAAGTGGACGTGCCCCGTTTGAAGTGTTAAATTTGGGGGGAAAGAGCTAAAAGAACCTTGTTATTTCTCTTCATTTTCCCCTTCAAATCTGGCCAGAGCACATAATGAGCTGGAGTGCCTTCCAGGCCAACTTAATTCCTTGGCTTGGGGGCAAAGAAAAAAAGCATGTGTGGGCTTTTACCAACTCTCAAAACACCCTTAGAATATGCAAGTCTTGCTCCAAAAAGAGAAAAAAATAACTTAAATCCCGGAAGGAAAAAAAAAATTCCATGGAATTGCACAGTAATTATTCTGTGTATGTGCTGAGGTTCTATTGAGTTCTGAGACAACCCCCCCCCACCCCAAAAAAAAGCGTTGGCATAAAAAGAAACATTTTTTTTGGCTGCGGGCACTGACAGATACTGTCTTTTAAGGAGCGCAAGTTGGCGCGTTTCCCCGAGATGTGGATTATCAAGAATTCACATCACAAGATGTGCAGATGAAAACTTAATGCCTGGGAAAGTCTTAGGTTCAGGAATGGAAAATACAGTCCCTGGGAGGGGGCGGAGGTGAGCGCCAAGAACTGGCCTGACTCATCTGAGCTCTTGGCTGCCAAGAGCTGGGGTCTCCTTTCTGCCCAGATCACCCGGGGGGTGGTCGGTCTCCAGCAAACGTGGACAGACCACGGGACCTCCGAACACGGTGGAGTCGTAGCAAGCGAACGGCGCGTAACACGGTGACGTCGTGAGGGAGGCGTGGTCATGGTGACGTCGTGAGGGAGGCGTGGCCACGGTGACCTCGTGAGGGAGGCGTGGTCACGGCGACGTCGTGAGGGAGGCGTGGTCCCTAGAGGAGAGTCCCGACGTGGGTCGTGGTCAGAGGCAGCGCCTGACGGCCCGTGTTCCCCAACCCCTTCCCTCCCCTTCCCCAGGATCACCCAGAGCTCTCGGTCCCGGGTCTGCGGCCCGCCACTCTCTACCGCCTGGAGGTGCAGGTGCTGACCGCGGGCGGGGAGGGGCCCGCCACCATGAGGACCTTCCGGACGCCCGACGTGCACCGTGAGTCCCGGCCGGGGAGTGGGGGTCCCGCCCGCCTTGCAGACACACAGAAAGTCTTGGTGAAAAAACGAAAATCCATAGATCGAGCACTGCAGGCTCCTACCCACGGGGAGTTCTCTGAACCTGAAGTCCTCCCTCCCCTTTCTACGTGCTTCCTCCCAGCCGACCTGACACGCTCCTTTTTTCCCTCCCCTGCAGCCGCCTCCTCCCCTTATGTTACTTTATCCCCCTACAGAAGGTATGCTTTTTCCTTATCTTCTAACCGTAAAATACACAAGAGGTAGGGCTTCCAATGCAGGCAGACGTTAGAGACATAAGGCTTGATCCCTGGGTCGGGAAGATCCCCTGCAGGAGGGCATGGCAACCCACTCCAGTTTTCTTGCCTGGAGAGTCCCAGGGACAGAGGAGCCTGGACGGGTTATAGTCCATGGGGTCTCACAGAATCGGACACCACTGAAGTGACTTAGCATGCACCCACACAAGGGGGAAAAAATCTGTCATCTCATATCATTCTAAAAATTAAGATGTTCAAATATAACTATATAAGAAATATTAGTTTGCTATGGAGCTTATTACATATATTTCTACTATATATAATCTATAGGCTTCCCTGGCGGCTCAGCTGATAAAGAATCCGCCTGCAATGCAGGAGACCCCGGTTTGATTCCTGGGTCAGGAAGACCCCCTGGAGAAGGGACAGGCTACCCACTCCAGTATCCTTGGGCTTCCCTGGTGGGTCAGCTGGTAAAGAGTCATCTGCAGTGTGGGAGACCTAGGTTCCATCCCTGGGTTGGGAAGACCCCCTGGAGAAGGGAAAGGCTACCCACTCCAGTATTCTGGCCTGGAGAATTCCATGGACTGTATAGTCCTTAGTGTCGCAAAGAGTCAGACACAACTGACCCAACTTTCACTTTCACAATCTATATTACATAAATTTTCTTCACAGTATAACCCAAACCAACCTACTTGACTTCCTGCTAAATCAAGTAGATTAAAAATAATCGTCACCTATTGTTTCAAAGCAAACAGCCTCCCGGACAGCACTAAGGAGACGTGTTGGGGAGTGGTTGCAGTTATTTACCATGAAGGAGTTTTCATCCAAGTGTGTTTACTGATGTTAGAAAAACAGGAAAGAAAATCTAGTGATCTCTTCAGGGGCCGAAACTGTTAGCTTTGGCAGTGATTGAATATGTGCTGGGTCTGTTAACCCTAAAGTCATGGTCCGCCCCCAACCCCACCCTCCCTTCCACCCTCAGCAGCCACAAGTCTGTTGTCTATGTCTGTTAGTCTGTTCTTGTTTCATAGATGTCACTCACGTGGAATCTAAAGTACGGCACAAAGGAACTTAACTATGAATCAGAAACAGACTCACAGATGGACAGAACAGACCTGTGGGAGTTTGGGATCAGCAGATAGAAACCAGTATACATACGATGGATAAACACCGAGGTCCTACCGTGGAGCAAGGAAACTGCATCCTATATTCTGTGTTAAACCACGATGGAAAAGAATATAGACTGTGTGTGAGCAAGGAACCGTATCCTATATTCTCTGATAAGAAAGAAAGAAAGGGAAGTCACTTAGTCGTGTCCGACTCTTTGGGACCCCATGGACTGTAGCTCACTAGGCTCCTCCATCCATGGAATTTTCTAGGCGAGAGTGCCGGAGTGGGGTTGCCATTTCCTTCTCCAGGGGATCTTCCCGACCCAGGGATCGAGCGCAGGTCTCCTGCATTGCGGGCAGACGCTTTACCTTCTGAGCCACCACGGAACCATGATGGAAAAGAATATATATAGTGTGTGTGTACATATAAAAACAGTATATATAAAGCTGTACTGTATATATATACATACTGTATATGTAAAATTGAATCACTTTGGTCTACAGCAGAAATTAAACGCAACGTTGTACATCAACTATACGCTAATAAAACTTAAAAACGTATGTGTTGGGGAACAAAAAGTATGTACAGTGGAATAAGTGCAGAAGGAAGCCAAGAGTCATTTAGTGCAAGAGGATGTGGTTTGCTGGAACTGTGCTCCAAGGTGCTTGAGGCCCAGGTTGGGGTGTGAGACGGAGGATGGTGAGATTAACATAGAGAGGACTGCATCTGAGTCACCTGTGGGATAGTGAGACGGAGACTTCCTGAAGGCCTTCGGGACTGCAGGGTCCAGCGCTGAAAGCTTTGAAGGTCCTCGGCATGTGGGTAGTAACTGAACATGGGGGTGTGTACTGGAGGTCAGGAAGGTGAGGAGAGTTAGGCTTGGACAAGACCAGGGGAAGTGCTGTGGAAACTAGGAACACTGCGGCTCAAGGTGTTGGGCAAAGAGAAGAATCTGCGTGGAGGATAGTCTTCCCAAATTATTGTGGCTAAATACCAATTTTTTTTTTAACAGTCATTTCAACAGCTGTATCTTAGGAGCAATGCTTTCATTTCTATTCCTGTTTTTAAACAGGTCATTTAAAATATCAGATTCTTACTTTTTGCTTCAATTCTTCCGTCACTTTAAGTTCATGTAGGTGGTGTGCTAGAAATAGTAGGCATCCACCCCCTCCACTGTTTCACACTTAAGTCTCTGCTTTATTAGTAAAAACATAGGGAAGCTAATTTTAGTTATTAGCAAAACTAAACGGCAACAATTGTGTATTTACAACAATTAGTTATTAGCAAAACTAAGTGGTAACAATTGTGTATTTACAAAAATTAATCCTTAGCAAAACTAAATGGTAACAATTGTGTATTTAAAACAAAGAGTGTCCTGTTGGGTTTTAGATTAAGTACATTGTTTTCTCAGCTTAAACTTTAAAAAGCCACGTCAAAGCTTTATGTGTTGCTAAGAACTAATGATCCTGGTTTTATTTTTTTAAATGATGGATCAGATTTGCCCCAGTAGCTTTTTGCACTTAGGAGTTTAAAGACAAATAAAAACCACCCCAGTGGGAGCGCCCTGTGTGACGCCCCGTCCCGTTTGGGACCACATCCACCCACCACTTACAGTGTCTCTCCACCAAAAAGTGTGTGTGTCATGAAAGTATGTGTTAATTTCTAAACTTTTCCGAGGAGATACAAAGGGTTCTGGCCGGCTTATATAACTATAAAGAAAGAGGCTTGTCTTCTTTTTCTTGTGATCTTATGGTTTTTCGGAGGGAACCAGAGAGCCGGGGAAGGCAGAGAGGCAGGGTGGATGTGTGCCTGCAAGTTCAGAGCCAGGGCCGGGAGGACCTGGGTGGCAGGGACCGCGGGCGGGGTCCAGACACACAGATGTTCCTCCGGTCGGTCCAGCCGGGGACGGCAGCCGGACTAACACGTCTGTTCTGTCTCTAGGCCCCCATCTGAAACACCGCCATCCCCACCACCACAGGCCGCCTGCAGAAAGGTACTGAGATGCTCTGAGAGCCCGTCTGAACCCTGAGCGAGTGTGGAAGCTGGCACAACCCCCCAAGGACTGGCCGTGCCCGCTGGGAGGCTCCAGGCCCTTCCCGGAGGACCGCCCGCCCCTGCCTAATAACCGTGGGGCACTCAATGCTCTGTCTGCCCCGGAAAACGCGCCCCGAAAACCAGGGACGTGCAGTGGGCCTTGTGAAGGCGGAGGGACAGGTTCCTGTGAGAACAGACGACATGCAGCCCAGCCCTGTTGCGCTTCTAATTCTTGCCTGACTGTGTGGTGGAGCTCCTCCCAATACAGGTCTGAGATGTCCCCGAATTTGCATCAACAGATTCTCCAAAGAAGCAGTTTACACAATTTACACACGTAATAGGCCTGCATGTAAGCAGTTACTCACTGAACACTTGGAAATTAAATTATTGATTTGATTTCCTAGATCCACGGAAGAGTACCCAGATTTTTACACCCTAATATTTATTCAAAGATTTCTGAAGATGAATTTTTGTTTTTAATTACCTGTGGGGTTTTTTTTTTCAACTGAAAAATCTGTAAACCTGAAATATTGCCAATTAATATAAACCTAAAATGCTCCAGCTTCCAGCACTTCAGCTCCATTTTATACAAAGACATAGATGAGTTTGGCCTCTAAATGACAATTTCTGTTAAGACATTCCCAGCCAGGAGGAGTCAACACTGCTACCCAGAGTCTGCCCTGGAGAAATTAAAACTGCTTTCTGGGGCTGCTTTTTAATACTTCATCCTACAAGAAGTTTCCCTGATACTTTTATTTATATTTTCCTTTTTTCCTTAATGGGGAAAACAGTTGCTGGTACACTTTGTTTTGACGCTTACATGTGTCTAACACGCTACAAAACCTCTTGCTTGAAATGAAAGGATCCCAACTATTGAATATTTTCAAATCTTTACTGAGATTTCCCCCTTTTCTTAATCAAAGCAAGCGCTTTGTTTGGTAGAATATTCTCCATAATGTAGAAAAGGTGGAGGGGGACTTTGCTTCCCAGGTGGCTCAGTGGTAAAGAATCTGCCTGCCAATGCAGGAGATTCGGGTTCGATCCCTGGGTGGGGAAGATCCCCTGGAGGAGAAAATGGCAACCCACTCCCGTATTCTTGCCTGGAGAAAATCCCATGGACAGAGGAGCCTGGCCTGGCGGGCTACAGTCCATGGGGTCACAGAGAGTCAGACACAACTTAGCAACTAAACAGGAAACCTTTCTTTAATCCTTCAAATCTATTACATCTTATTTGAAAACTTTATGAAAAATTATGAAAAATTTAACTGAAGAATTGTGACGCTGCATACTAATGCCTCATGGCATGAACTCAAGTGAAGACACGGTGTTAGTATATAGTGCTGAGGGGAATATTGGGGCACCCTTAAACCAGAGATGTTTTAATATATTTTTTGCTTGAGGGAACACCCATGTGTATACACATGTATGTATGTGTCTGTATACTTCCGGGTAGGTATACAATATATATGGAGAAGGAAATGGCAATCCACTCCAGTATTGCCTGGAGAATCCCAAGGACAGAGGAGCCTGGTGGGCTGCCGTCTGTGGGGTCACACAGAGTCGGACACGACTGAAGTGACTTAGCAGCAGCATACAATATATACATACATGTAAATACACACACACACAGACGCACACATGTACACGTGGGTAGCTTGAGTAGAGTCGCTGCAGAAATTGCTTTCCCAAGTCACCAGTAGCGGATGCAACTCTAAAGATCATTGGAATAATCTGTTTTCCCCATCGGCATCGATTCTATGAGAAAACAGCTTTTTCTCCAAATTAAACATTTTCACGGAAGGGCATCCTCATCTCATTATCTACACAGGGAAAACGAGGATGTTTTCAGTCAATGCTCTTGTGGGCCTGGAAGCCTGCCGTTGTCTTCCTTCCCAAAAGCCTGCGGTGAGCGCCCTGGTTGCCGGGGGTTGAGTTAGCGATGAGGGGCGTGAATGTGAGGGTCTCGACTCGCCCCAGGAGGTCCAGGCTCTTAAGTGCGGACACCAGGCCGAGAGACGACCCCTGTTATCACACACACGCCTCTCTCCCCGGAGAACCCCGGGGCCGGTAGGCATGGATCTCCGACGGAACAGGTCGAAAAAACTACTTCCTGCGTCTTCAACGAGCTTGGAAGCTTGATCAGGCGGGCGGTGCTTTGCAGCCCTGAGCGAGGGGCTACGTAGGGGTCTCAAGGGTGCAGCCGGCTCGTGGTGCTTCGGGCTTTTTCTCTGCAGCTCCTAACGTGGTCTGGGGCGGGCTCTGCAACAGAGGATCCCTGCAGAGTCAGCGGGTTCCCCTTCTGCACGGGGACGGGAGGGACCGCCTTCACGGAGGACGCATGCGCAAACCCAGAGATCGTCGCTGAAACACGACTTTCCCCAAGACGCCGTGCCCAGCATCTGAATTTTCAAACCCTCAGAAGGGAAGGCTTCAAATTATTATTGACTGTGTGTTATCGTTTGCCTTCATTTGTCCTAAATATATCCGTAAGTATTTGTGCCAGCCCATCTTTGTACTGTTGTATAGTTTAAAACATGGGAGTATATACATAGATGCGAAATATTATTAAATTATTAAACACACTTAATTTTGTAAAATTTAATGACATTTCTTTTACCTGGGTCATAGACGTTGAGCAAATACATTTTTAGTTCGGATCAAGGTTCTGAAGCTTCTGTTTTCCTTAAAATACCTGAAGCAGGCCTTATGAGCATTTCATTCTACTCTAATATTTGATAAATTTTATTACTATTATTGGAAGAGAAAACTGTTAATTAGGCAATAAAAGAAAGCTGAGTTTCCTTTATAAATTTCAATAATATTTAAAAGAGCAAAAATATAATTACAGTTTTTTGAATTTTTAAACATTTGCCATAATAAAGGTCTAAAAGTTTATGTTGTTTAATTATAAAACCAATTTAGTAGCTGATTCTCTGTTTTATTGAAATTAGATGCATTTCTCTCATATGAGACAAAGTATATTCAGTGACAGTATTTACTCTTTAAAAAAATCAAGCTCATCGAACATACAAAGTCATCAAATACAGGTGTCTAACCCAATATACATCAAGGCTATGTGCATCTTTTTACTGAGAATATTCACTCCTCAGCGATGGGTTTATTTATCTGGGCTATCCTCTTGTTCTTAGTGGGCTCTGGGAGCAATCTTTATAAACGAATGTGTGCCCTTCACATTAGTCAGTTTTTTTTAAAAGATACATAAATGGGAAGGAAATCAAGAAAAAAGGGGATAAATATACACTTAGAGCTGAGCAGAAACTAACACAACATTATAAAGCAATTACACTCCAATAAAATTTTCTTCAAGAGACAGTAACATTTATGATGCTAAATTTTCCAAAATCCAAAGTTTACAAACAGATCTCTGTCCTAGAAAGACCTGGAAGAACCCAGAACCCATGTCGAGAGCAGAAGAACCCATCCTCCAGCTCAGCACCGCTGAGATGTGGGGCTGCACGTTGCTCTGTCAGCGGGCAGGACCTGCCCTTGGCCCTGTGGGGCGTGGAGAGGCACCCCTGGTCTCCACCCACCAGAGGCGAGGAGCACCCCACCCTGGGTGTGATGATCACACACTCTGTGGTCACGGCCCACACCCTCTTGGGGCACAGAGTCACCCCCGACGAGAATCACTGCATCGTAATAATGTTCACTGAATAACTGCCCTCTGCAAGGGGGAACTGGGTCAATTGGAGTAGATACACCTGGGAAGTGGTTACACTGGACCAAAAAAGCCCTTAGCGGTATCTTTTATCTCCACTGAAGAATCTGATTAAAAGGCTGAATTTGGGTTTCATGCGAGTACAGATATTCATTTTGTCCTACAGACAGAACAGCATCATTCATGATGATGGGAGTCTTACTTAACGCCCTTTCTTACACCACGTGTCGTGGGGTTTGTCAGGTTCGGTCCTGTGACTGCAAATATCTCAATCTAAACTTAGGCACACTTGCACATGATCACCAGAACACAGAGGCTAAATACCCGATGCGTGTACGTTCATTTACGATACAAATGCACAAAGCCGGCGACTCGTGTCTGTGGTTTTGCATGGCCAAACTCGGCTTCTCAGCTCTCCTGGACACTTGGCAAGTTCCACCACTCACAGAGTGACTCACACGGGTCTCTCTGCAGAGCTATTAGGCCTTTTCCTTGACGTAACCATAGTGCACAGATAACAGAATGGCTACCCTCTCATCCAAACAGCCTGTAGAAGCCATGTCCCTTTGACAGGTCATTTAAAAGTCAATATTTATTTATGTATGTAATAAAAAATGATTTTGTTTGTGTGTCATGTTAGAGAGAAATAATCTTGTAAAGAAATATTGTAAAAAAAAAAAAAGCATTGTAAATAGTCTGATCTCTGTCACTCATTATTTTCATGTTAGAGTTTGTACATACTGACTGATTCCGTAATAAAGGATCTTTAAACCTGCCTGGTGGACTAGACTCGTTACTTTCCTGAAAATACCCACACACACGTTTTCTTTTCATTTAGAAAGGAAAATGAGCAGTTTCCTATGAAGCTGGGGAGATTGAAAAAGCCCCATTCTCCTATCAGTATGAATGGAACCCAAGGTCTGGTGAAAGATTGAAGTCGGGAGGAGAAGGGGGCGACAGAAGATGGGATGGTTGGATGGCATCACCGACTCAATGGACATGAGTTTGGGTAAACTCCGGGAGCTGGTGATGGACAGGGAGGCCTGGCGTGCTGCAGTCCATGGGGTCGCAGAGTCGGACACGACTGAGCAACTGAACGAAACAAAAATGCAACAAGGCAGCTCGTCGTCCTGAACAGAGCGTTCTGGACTACTGACACAGATCACGGCGTCATGGTTTTCACTCTGTTTCCAAGCATGACTCTCAATGGTTTGGGTGGCATTTTCTATCCATTGGTCCACAGGCTTAAACAACTGCCCCCCACCACCACCGCCGACCCCAGGAGCTGTCCATAAAATGCTACCAGATATGCGTTGTGCTCATAAGCTTTCAGCCACGCCCCTGGGTTCTCAACAGCACAGTCACTGCAGGCAGGGCTGGTGGGGGGGTCCCCTCCCCAGCAGAGGGTCTTGCAGACCCCCACACTGGGTGGGCGCTATGCCCATGGGCATCTCCACCCGTGATGTAGGAGGATGCTACTCCATCGGGAAGCTGAGACGAGTTCTGTCTGCATCAAATGACCTCCTTTATAATCTCTGTGTGTTCAACCCGCAGGAACGTCCTAAAGTTTCTGCCGCTGCCTGGTACTGCTTTACGGGTGGGATATTGACAATGATGGCAGGTTCCAGGCCTTCAAGGGCTGTTCCTTCTCGGAGAAGGTGACTAGCGATGAGGAAGAAAGAAGTGAAGAGTGTGAGGAACCCGAGGAGGAAAAGAAAGCAGAGTGCGGGTGAGGGACAGGCCGTGGGGTCCTGACTTTCGTGTTCTCAGGCAGGATCAGTGTGGACTGAGACCCCCCAAGCTAAAGAAGCTGGCGGCTACCCAAGGGATGGATGTGGGGCACCCACAGGGAGACGGGACCTCTGAGGTGTGAGCCTGGGCTTT